CGCCTATTTCCCCATTATTTATATATTATTAATATTAATGTTATAACTATCATAATATATGCTCTTAATTGCTATAACTATTATGATTACATAGACATATTAAACATTAATAGGAAAGCATACACCACAACGCACCTCATGACTATAATTATGCCGAATAAAAAGGACCCACTCGTTGAAACCATCACGAATCTAATTTGTGACTTATGCCATAGGTACCAAAAAATGCTTCTACATGGCTGGGAGGACAGCTATGGAGAACTCATCATTCTCTATAAATTCCGCTTCCTTTTTATGCTTCTAGCTGCACTCCTTACTATGTAATGGTTTAACTTAACAAAACTGCATGATTATTTCATAAGATATTCTGATAATTTATTTAATTTATTGCTATTTATAAACATAAGTTTTAATAGATATAATTAAGAATTTTAGTAAAATTAATTTATAAATAGTAAAAGATATATTTAATAACAAAGATAATAATAAAAAAGATATGACAAAGATTAAATAAAAAAAGTTAATCTTAGAATATAATCTAAACTATATATCAAAGTTAAAACAATATGATATTGTTTAATTTTAGCACTACTGTCAATTCAAGATAATGTATCAATCAACCGTTAATTGATAAGATATAAAAAAACTTTGAAAACATATTAACAAAGTAGTATATTTTGAATATTATTAAGATTTAAGGAGATAATTATATCTTCTCCAACCGTATTATATATGAATGTTAATTAATGATTAACTTGAGCTCAACATGAAATTTTACATACATCAAATAATACACAGTTATTACTCAATGTATAATCACTGTTGTCCCTTCAAAATGATTTTTTTACAAAATTAATTAATATCTATTCAAAAATAAAATCCCTTAAGCTATTAAAAACTCATTAAATGGTTATATTTTACAATTAAATTGAGGAATTGCACCTAAATTGTAGAAATTATTGGTGTTGATAAACATAATGGATAATCTTAATAAAATTTGTCTTCTCTATTACAACCTCCTAAGATAAATTGGACGATAAATTATTTAAATATATAATCTTTTTCTAAAACCCATAATTAAATTAGAGCTTTCTAACAAAATGAACCAATTATATCTGTGAAGCAATTAGATGAAATATAAATGATCTTAAAAATTAAACCCTATTTAATCTTCCATTCATCATTATTGTTAAATCTTTATACTTTTGGTTCTACTCATCAAATAACCCTAATTTTTAATTTGATTCTAAATCATTTTCATCGTCTTCTCCTTCTTCTTCTCCTTATAGGTTATTGTTTTAATTTATTAAATCAGATATTCTTAATCAATTTAATTTTCTGAGGGTAAACTTTTAGATTTTCTTAATTTTACTTGTATCTCAATTATTAAATTTTTGAGAAAATCACAAAGATTTGTTTATTCTGCTATATTACTGTCATTTTTTTCATTTTGAATTGATACTATACTGATTTATATTCTATCAAAATATTCTTTAAATGAATCATTTTACATCTGTTATACGTTAGCTGTTGTCCAAAGCGATTATTGAAATTTATGAATATATTCTTAGAGACAATTAAGAAAAACTTATTTTATTTTAGTTTAAATCTCTTTGTTATAATCTTGAATTAGAACATAGTTATTTCTAAAATATTTAACTTCTTCAAGTAATTAGGTTAATTGCTACATCTATTCTGCAATTTTTTTCTTTTATATTTTAACAACATTAATGATGATTTCTAAATGTGTTTGACATTTTTCATCAAAACAATAATTAACAGTTTTTTGGATATTCTGTTAATCTTTTTTATCATTTTAATATTATAAATTATTCAATTAAGTTGATTAATAATTCCTTTCATCTTCATTTATTTCGGCTTAAATCTTTTTTATTGATTCTTGCAATTTTTTAAAATTTTTTAACAATTCTAAATTAAGTATTTTAAAAATTTATAAATTTTAGTTAAAGGAATTATTCAAAACTTTAACAACTTTATCAGTTTGATTGAGAAATTATTTGAAATATTCTATACTATTAAATTGATTATTTTTCCCAACAATTCTCAATTATTACAAAATTTTTTCATATTTTTCTTTTTCTTTAATTAATTCCAATTGATTAAATTTTTCATCTGTCACTTTTTTAATTGATTCATCTATTGATATATCTTTAATAATCTTCATTATTAAATTGAACTAGATTCTTCTATAAATAATTCGCCAAAATCCTTCTGAATCAACCCTAAATCTTTTTTTTCTGAATGAATAATTTATTCATCTATACTTAATTTAAATATTAAGTGTTCTATTGTTCCTTGATACTTATATAAATTATTTGAGAAGTCTTCCTCCGTGATTTTCATAGTTATTAATTCAGGTAATATTTTTTTTGAGTAATTTTGGTTGAAGATTAAATTTATAGGATAATTAATAATTACATTAATGAGAAACTAATCTAAATTGATAACTTCTTGTAACTATTAATATTCTTCTTATTGAACTATTAATATTTTTTAAAAAGACTCCTTGAAAACAATTAATTGTAATTTAAGCTTTAAATTGTTCAAACTTTAGTTGAATCTAAATTAATATGATAGCATATCCAAAAATTGTTATTTAATGTTTACAAATTCTTCAACTTAAAAAAAGACTTGATTTCACATAATACAATTACAATTTTCCTAAAACTTAAAATAAATTCATTAATATTTTTTTTAAGTTCTTCATACTTGTGTTCATCAAAACAATATAAATTACACAATAAACTCTGAAAGCAATTATTTATGCTATTCTTTTGAAGTTATATAATTTCTAACTTTGAGATTTATTTTTAAGAATTTTCAATAAGTTTTAACATGCTCTAAGTTCAAAAAGCTCTCTTTCTTTATTAAGAGTTGTTATTGATAAAGCACGAAGCTCTTATTCAAACTTATTGATAAATGAAAACTGGTTATCTTTGAGATTTAGATTTTTTAATTCCTCCTAAATCTACTCTTTCTACTACTAAGCATTTCAGTTCCATCTGTTTCACAATTTTGCTTGCAAATTTGATTTATAGAGTCTTAAATTTCTTAAATTGCTAATAATATTTATTCTAATAGTCTCATTAAATATTTAAGCGATTATAAAATATTTAATTCAATAACATTTTCTTGTTGTAATTATTCAGCCTGAAAGTAATTATTATTCTAATTCAGCTTAACAATTTTTAGAATATTTTGTGTGTTTTTTAAATATTCCTATAAATGTTAAATGATTTTTTTAATTAAGATATAACAGTACTTTGTAAAAGTCTCGTATTAACTTAGGCTACTTTTCTAAATTATTTCCAGATTTTAATTACTTCCTTCAGGTTCTCATTATTTTATTTTATTAAATTAATTAGTATAATCCTTCCAAATCTAATTAAATGACTTTAACCCAACATTTAAAGAGTTATTCAGCTGGCCAAACTTTTTTTTTTTTAGTAGACTAATATTTTGCAAATCATTTAGATCCAAATTTAATGTTCCCTCCAATTTTTTCAACGTTTAATTATTGTTTCATATATTGCCTCAATGTGTAAAATTATTTCTTATAGATTTCTGTATTTTTTGGTTTGAAAATAATTTATTACTTCCCATAACAACATATCTACTTAATAAAAAACTTCATATTATTATCTCTTTTTAGAAATATCTTAAATTTTGTAAAGTAGACAGGCTCCCATAAATAATGATTCGATTAGTTCAGTATCTGGGCTCATATTGATAAGAGAACTTATTATACCTTTTAAGGACCCCATTAATATTTCTTCCTTTTCTTTGCCATTAGTTGGAGCAATCTCAAAAGAGATTTTGGTTAAAAAAAGAAATAGTTAGATTTAATTTTAAATTAAATCATTCCTTTCAATTTCCATTTATAATTTTAATTCATCACAACACTTCAGAAAATAATTTTAAGTTTCACATTTCATGAATCTGTATTCATTAAATGGAAGCTAGATATTACTTTAGATAGGGATGTTGTAATCGATAAAATATACAAACATTTAAAGGAATCTGATCTGATGTTGGTTTAACAGCTGATCAATAAACGTCTAATCCCATCTAAAATTAAATCGTATGAATTCTTAACACTTTAAACATTCTTATTTATTTTGAAGATGTTTTCTTCCTAAAGAATAAACCATCTTATTGCTATCATTATTTCTGATGATTCTTATTCATTAGCTGCAATATTAGCTTTAGATTAGATTATCTAAATATAGTGGTTGAAATTTAAAAAGAAATCATAAGCATCAGTTTGAACGCAATTTTATAATATTATATAGAAACATTAGGTTTAAGCATTCCACAACCTCCTCCTCTTAGAATCAATGTTATTTGTTAATTTTTAGCATTATCAAATATTTAAATGATAAATCAAAAATTAAGATAAACTTAAAAGATGATAAGGACCCCTAAAATATAAATATTATGTCATAATATAATTTATCAAATTAATCGACAAAACAAAGTTTTCTATTTGGAGGCTTCAAACTTGTGGTTTGAGCAATAATCTCTAATAGTTTCAACTCACCTTTAAGTGGTTCCTAAAACTGGACTTTTTAGATCAATTGATTGTTGTGACTTATTTTATATGTAAACGTGGATTTGAATTCAATTGAAAACAAACAATTATATGTTTTCAGAATGCTCCACATCGAATAAATGTTTGAAGTAATTACAAAGAGTATCTTTCGTTCTTAAAGGAATGAACCAACCATTTGTAATAAGAATAATACTAAAGAAAATTAAATATTATTTAGCATTAGTCTGATGTAAATATGAAATTCTTTTCACAAATGGAGAAGGTTGTATTGAAATAAATGCGATTTATAAAGGCTCTCAATAACAATTTTTTAGTTTTATGGTTAATCATTAAACTGTTTTTGTTGGAATAATATAGATGCTCTTAGTAATATTGATACATTATGTAATCATCTTTTGGTACTAAAAATCAATGTGGAGAGCAAGCATTTCCAAAAGCATTTATCAATGGCCATTTGACTTAACTATGTATTAGTAATGGTATCATTTGTATCAAAAACCAGCCAAATGCAGCAATAATATTTGTTGTTCGACATTCACATAAATTGATGGATCATGTAAAGGTAATTTGACAATTCAATGGGGTATTTTTATTTTTGACTATGTTATGAAGTAATAGTATTTGTTAGTAATGATGTATTTTCTTTAAAACTTGGTTGTACTTTAGTAAAGCCAATATTTAGTATCTGTTTCATCATGTTCATTATTAAAATCATAAGCAGTTTGTCAAACTAAAATCTTATAAAATGGATAGAATTGTGTTTGTTATGTACTAATAAATTAATGTAGAGGGTTTTAATGTTCTGTTTATGTTGGCATCAATAATAATAACATATGCTAGTAAAGTTGTAATAATTGTATAAGTAAAAATCAATAAATTAATAATTATAAAACTGATGGTAATGGATGTGAAATTATATGAGAGCCTTGAAATATCTTAATTAAATGATGTTTAAGATTATTCAAAAATAATTAAAATTAGAGAGAGGAGTTTATTTTTAAGGAAGATTGGATTCTTTATAATATTCCTTGTAAGTATGAGACCCGATTGAATAATTCCTTTTACTATAAAGGTATCGCTTTTAAGTATGGCTTCCTTGAATAATATAATCATAATATTTTTGGTTACTGTTTATTTGGATCTGCTTAAGACTTTTGTTATTTGAAATAACTATTATTAGCTTACCCTATACTCTAATAACAATTAATTACAACTTAGTTTATATTTTCAATTTTATTCTAGATTGAATGATGTGCATAAAGAAAAAACAATTTGAGTGAATAAAATATGATATTACCCTCATTACATCTAATACTCATGTTATGTTAAAAAATTAGATGTATATTATCATTTTTATTTATGAATAAATATCCATCCTTTTCTTATCTAATCAAGAGATGATCAGTTTTTAAGTCCTTCGATGAAAGTCTTATTGTTTCAGTAAGTAAAAGATCGAACGTTATATAAAATTAAAATTAGGTGAGATATTGAAAGATAAATAATTTGGTAAATCCTACATTTGATATTTACTCGTCGTCTTCCTTAATGTAAAAAGTTTACATATTAATATTATTTTTAATTCCAGTTTTGATTCCTTTCGTCTTTTGAGATATTCAATCAATTAAACGAAGTTATTTTTAACTTGATCATCCTATTGATATTACCTGAAAATGGAAGTCATCATGTTTTTTCTAAAAAATACGATAAAAATTATTTCTTTGGTTGAATTCTCTTGAATATAATAATTAGTAAAGAAAAAGTTATTTATGACTAATAGAAGCTATACAAATAATATATATATCAAAGCTTTTTAATTTTAATTCCGATTTATTCCTGACTTAATAATTTAATTATTTAGCTTAAAAATTATTTATCATCAATTGGATAAAATACAAGAAATGCTGTTAAGAATTTCATATTTAAGACAAAATCTTAACTTTTTAAAAGCATTTCTAATAAGGGAATATTTTTGAAAATAGTATAAATGATTCTTTTCCCTGAGGTGTCTTATTTTACAGTTGTGTGAATTTATCTATAAATATATTTAATCTTTGATTTATATTAAATTCAAATGCTGATTTTAACCTTTTGTTTCCATTTAAAAAAATGAATGGAATTATGAAATAAAAATTTTTGGAGTGATAGTTTAATCTAGGTACACTTGAGTTTTGCTAATTCAACATACATGTATACTTATGAAGAGATTCAATTACTAAAACCAAATTATAAAATATATACTTTTTAAATTTAACTTTGATAAAAGTAATTTTAACAGTGATTAAAATATAAGTAAAAATTCAACCTATTCAAGTTTTAATGAAGTGAGTGATTAAAATATTCTTCTACTCTCTCACTTTATATTCGGTAATTATTCCCACTATATTTTATTTTGGAATACAAGCTTTTTTTGCCAACATTTGACTCACTTAGAACATAAAACTTTAATAATAATTTATCATACTATAACTCGATTTGGCAATACTCAAAATGTAGCATATAAAGTATTAACAATATCCTAATATATTTTGAGCTTCTAAATGAACGATGATGAAATATATCAAAAATGATGATATAAGGAAAAGGAATAGCTTAGCTATTTTTAAGATTAGGAAATTAAGAAACTAATAGAAAGAAATCAAAATTCTCTATAAACAATGATAGGATAGTATTTTTTAAATAATAATTTTATGGTGATTTGTGTAATTAAAAATAGTCCTTGTATTGAAGATTTATTAACTGGGAACATTTTCTCATTAATAACTATTCAAGAAATAGTTATGATATGAATTGATGAAATACATAAGTAAAACTATTTTTTAGGAACTATAATTACAATTTGAGAAATTTTATACTTTATACAATTGATACTGAANAATAATTAGTAAAGAAAAAGTTATTTATGACTAATAGAAGCTATACAAATAATATATATATCAAAGCTTTTTAATTTTAATTCCGATTTATTCCTGACTTAATAATTTAATTATTTAGCTTAAAAATTATTTATCATCAATTGGATAAAATACAAGAAATGCTGTTAAGAATTTCATATTTAAGACAAAATCTTAACTTTTTAAAAGCATTTCTAATAAGGGAATATTTTTGAAAATAGTATAAATGATTCTTTTCCCTGAGGTGTCTTATTTTACAGTTGTGTGAATTTATCTATAAATATATTTAATCTTTGATTTATATTAAATTCAAATGCTGATTTTAACCTTTTGTTTCCATTTAAAAAAATGAATGGAATTATGAAATAAAAATTTTTGGAGTGATAGTTTAATCTAGGTACACTTGAGTTTTGCTAATTCAACATACATGTATACTTATGAAGAGATTCAATTACTAAAACCAAATTATAAAATATATACTTTTTAAATTTAACTTTGATAAAAGTAATTTTAACAGTGATTAAAATATAAGTAAAAATTCAACCTATTCAAGTTTTAATGAAGTGAGTGATTAAAATATTCTTCTACTCTCTCACTTTATATTCGGTAATTATTCCCACTATATTTTATTTTGGAATACAAGCTTTTTTTGCCAACATTTGACTCACTTAGAACATAAAACTTTAATAATAATTTATCATACTATAACTCGATTTGGCAATACTCAAAATGTAGCATATAAAGTATTAACAATATCCTAATATATTTTGAGCTTCTAAATGAACGATGATGAAATATATCAAAAATGATGATATAAGGAAAAGGAATAGCTTAGCTATTTTTAAGATTAGGAAATTAAGAAACTAATAGAAAGAAATCAAAATTCTCTATAAACAATGATAGGATAGTATTTTTTAAATAATAATTTTATGGTGATTTGTGTAATTAAAAATAGTCCTTGTATTGAAGATTTATTAACTGGGAACATTTTCTCATTAATAACTATTCAAGAAATAGTTATGATATGAATTGATGAAATACATAAGTAAAACTATTTTTTAGGAACTATAATTACAATTTGAGAAATTTTATACTTTATACAATTGATACTGAATCTATAAGGTATTCAGCATTGGTTGTTCCCAAACTTATTTTGCTCTATTTAGGTATTTTATCATTATTATTGAGCTTAATGAATGTTGGGTTTGCTGAATTATTTGGGTACAATTTTCAAATTTATTTAGCATCCTTAGGATGCTAAACCTTGTTAATTTATGCATCAAATTCACATTTCTGTGGTTTCCTCTTTACAACTAAAAAACTCCAAAACTAAGTTCTACAATTCATTCAATAATTTTTTGGTTTTTATCATAGCTCAGCACCAATATTCCCTTCAGGATTTCAAACCTTAGTAAACTCCAAGTATTTGAATGTCTATTTTTACAATCTCCAAATCTTTGACCTTTTAATTTCCTAGATTATTATGGATCTTCAGCGTATATCAAACTAGAATATTACAGATTCCGTTTGGTTATTAGATTAATTAATCTTAGATTCCTATTTAATTGTTTTAACTTAAAATTTTTTAACTTTGAATATAACATTCAAATTAAAAAAAATTCTTAAGTTCAAAGTACTCTTGAAAATGATTAATTTTTGTTCCAGCAAATTATTTTTTAGTCGTCACTGAAAAAATTTACTTTTCTAATTCTCCAGTTTACTTATGCTAGGATTTGAATGTCAAGTTCAGCTTTATTATCATATCATTTTGGGAATAGTACCAATATCTTTATTGTAAATTTAAGCAAATATGATTACTTTTCTTATTAGAGGAGATACTTTATTTATTGTTATAAATCTTGTATGTATTTTTTCAATGTATTTGCTTCTCTTCATTGGTATTATTTTAATTAAATCCTTAATTTTAAATAATATTCTTGATCAATTCTGATTAAGTTTAATAATTTTCATTAAGGTTATTAATTCCATAATGAAAAAATTAATTTATTATTAATTTTATTTAAAATTATGATTTGATATACTTGATTGGCTGTTCAAGTCTTCAGTTTTTTTGTAATAAATAAAGTTTAATTAATTTAGAATATAAAAATCTTAACTTAATTTAATAAAAAGTCAAATTATGATTGAATTTAACTTAAACTTGCTTATATCATAATTGATAATTTTCTCTTTTCGTTAAAGTATTTAATTCGTAATCCCAAATAAATACTCTAAATTAATTGAAGGCTTTAATTAGAATATAAATAATAATCTATTTAAAAAATAGAATCCTTGACATTTCTTTTTCTTTTAAGGCTTTTTGTTAAACTATGAATCCTATTTATCGTCAAAGGTTGATGCGTATACAAATTATTGGAAAAAATATGTTGTAATTCCCTCAATCAAATTTTGCATAATCATCAATTTTTAAATACATATGGTGGACATACTATATTCTTCTTATAAAAAACTAAATAGATTCATCCAAATTAGTCAGACTACTTTTTTTGGTGTATTTTAGATTTACAAAAAGCAAAGCCATATAATTTGGAAACTTATATATCATAATGAAGAATTTATAATTTAATCAAATTCCTGGATGATATTGACTAGTTAAGATTGGAGTCAACAACAAATAAATAAAAAGAGCTTTAATATATTCAGAATATCTTCCTTTTTTAGATTTGCTTCTAATTAGGAACAAATAACTACAATATATTAAGATATTTGGAATCAATTATATTATTTGATATAGTAGGTATTCCTTGTATTTAATATAGAACTCAACTTTTCACGCTAATAATTAGATTGGATGATTCATAATAAAGTCAATAAATGAATTTAGAAGGCTTAATAATCATTTTTATGCATACTTAAAATTGAGTTATGTCTTAATTATTCTAATCAACTAAATTCATATTTTTTCATTTAGTATCCTGTCTAACATTCATTTTCAAAGTGAGGCAATCATCAATTACTATATAAATTACTGAATTATTAATAGAAAATTAAGTTGAATTTAAAATTCTCTTGGATACTTCTACTCTGTTATATCTTAAAAAATCACTCCTCTTAGTAGGCCCAAAAGTTAATTAATCAAATATTGAATAAAAAAAAAGTTTAAAATACAAATTGATCTTTCTTTGAGCTTTTATCTAGAATATTGAGAATAGAAAGAAAAATTATTATTTGTTATGAAAAATCTATAAACAAAAATACTACAAAAATGTTATTAAAATATTCAATCTTTATATCTTTACTATTTGATATATCATATTAACTTTTTAGTTCATATTTAATCAAAAATCCATTTATTCTTCACAACTATTATGAATTAACTAAAAAATTTATTTAAAAAATATAAAATAAAAGTTTATATTACAAAAATTTATTACTCATAAAATTAACATTAATGCAGTTTCATTAACACTAATATAAATATTATAAGGAAAATTAAGTTAAATTTGTAAGCTAATTTCTAATAACTCTTTGCTTAATTTTTCAGTATACCTAGAAAATAAGGAGACTATTCTGCACAATAAATTTTCTATTCTCTACAATATTATATATATAAATTTATAATCTTAATAAACTAAATATAGAATTAGTAAATCACAAACAATTCTCATCTGCTCATTTGAGAATATCTATTTAAAATATATATCAACAGATTGATAAAATATAATAGATTATTCATCTGAATATAATGTTATTAATTAAAATATTGATATCCAAAATACATTAATATAACAGTTTCATACCTTTTTCATATCAGCTTCTTTCTACCTGAATAATTCTATTAATTATTTACCATCCTGTTCTATTACTGCATCCCATAAAATACAATTCTTTGCAGATATTAGGTTTTATCTTCCAAAGACCTTGAAACATTAAATGTATTCTTCTTTTTTATCTTTATGTACCTCATGATTATTTTTTGGAAATAAAAGCTTATAGAGTTTAATTGATCCATTTTCCATAGTTACTGCCATATCTATACAATTAGGAGATAATGATATCTTTGAAATTATTTCAGTAAATCCTTAAAGAATGTAAACATTATTTAATTATTTAATGCTCCAAAATCTTATAGTTTTATCTTTTGAACCTGATACAATCATAGAGTTATCGTGTAAAATGGATAAACACACAATTTTATCTGTATGTCCTTCTATTTATTTAATAATCTTGAAATCTAATGGTTGTACTACTACTTTAATTAAATAGATGCTGCAATCTTATGCTGCTGCTAAAAGATCACTATTATTTGCAAAAGTTACGCAAATAACGTTATAATTATATAATTATTCAATATGTTTTTGTTGATTTGTATTATAATCCCATAGGACCAATTTTGATCCTCCAAATGCAACAATAGTTTACTTATGCATAATTGAAAAAGTTTGAAAACAAGAAAATGAATAAAAGAATTTGCCTGCTGAATATTTTGTGAGATTTAGTTATTCTAAATATTATGTTAATTACCCTTCCCTTTTAAAAAGGCTATAACAAATAAGATCCTTTGTAAATCTATAATCGTTTTTATATTTTCCAAAGTAAATAACTCGATATAGAGTTATTTGACTTAGTTCACTGATATTCCAAAGTTTGAAAATTCCAAGTTCACATGTAGATATTAACAATTTTTCATCTTTGGAGACTATTAAATTATGAATTTTATTTTCATTATTAACAGTTGCTATTCTTTTGATAGAATCAAATTCTTGGAAATCCATAATTTCAATATTCTATTCATTACTCAACGCCATAATGATTTTTTGAGGAAAAAATACTGCAAAGTAGGAAGGATTTTCAATGTCACATTTTATTTCTTTGCTTTTTTATAATAAAGTAGAATATCTTAAGGTTCGAATATTCCATATGATTAAATATTCATAGCATAAAACTTCTAATTTCTTTGGATTGATTACTACATTTCCAATTAATTTTAAATTTCTAAACTCATTTTAAACTTCTTAGGACTTTATAACCTTCCCTACAGTAACACATAAGGAAAGGTCTGAAGAAAAACTACAGCTTAGAAATTGCATTTCGTCCACAAATAAATTGTGTCTATATTATTCTGATTATCGCCTAAAGTAACAAATAAGGTATGATTTCAGTTTTCCAGAAGCATCTGAGAAATCTAATTTCTAAATTTTATCATTATTTAAAAAAAATATTTAATTATCTTATCTCAAAAGCATTGTTGAGTAATCAAAACTGTTATTTTCCAATATCCTCAGCAATATTAATTATGCCTGATCTTCTTCCTTACAAAATTTCCAACAGAACATCTATTCCTTGCTTCCTGCAAATAAAATTGATTTTTCTGAATTCAATTTTAGAAAATTAAAAGGATCACAAGAAGTATTATTATATTTCACTGGTATCGTTTCACTATCATATTAATTGGCTATTTATAAATCAATCAAGTATAAATCTGCTGTTTAATTACTATAAACAAGATAATTTCGATCCAAACTAAAATCAGCAATTACACAATCTTTAATGGTTTTACTTTTATTATACCTATTTTCATACCAACAATAAACATCTCCTTCAAAGTTTTCATTTTAATCTTAATTAATTACAAAAAGATTCTATATATTGTTAATAAAGACAATTTATTAAATTTTGCTATTAGAAGAATTTTGTAATTATCTTCTTTAATTTTGAGTTTTTACATTATCCAAATGATTGATTACAATGGTATAATTTTTATCAATTGAGATTATACTTTAATTTTATTTTAAGTTTATATCCTTCTCCTTATCGTTATTTTATTTATATTTTTCAACCTAATTACTTTCAGAATTAGCATTTTCATATTCATTGTTTTCATTCTAATTAGGTTTTTCAAAGAGAATATCAATTTAATTAATTTATTCAATTTATTAAGGTTGATCATTATTATCTATTTCTTAAGGTACTACTTATTAGAAGAACTACATCATGATTATCTAATCTTAATCACATGTAAAAGAATTTTTTAATGTAAATTGATCCATTTCATAAATTAACATTTAATTTAATTCATTTGCCACTGCTAAAAACATATCATCGTCAGAAAATAATAATAAATTAATTTTACTATTTTAATTCAAAGTTTTTAATTTATCCATTGAATTTAATTCCATTATCCTTAAAATATTATTATTTTTATTATCATTAACCCCAATAGCTAAATAATTTAAATTATGAGATATTGTAAAATATTGAATTACGAGATTTTCTGTATTTGATTCTAAATTAGAAATTTTAAAATTTTAATCTTTTATTAAATGATTAACATCCCATAAATAAATTTAATTCTTATAATTTGTGCAATAGAATTTGTCATCATCTGTAAATTATTAGAAAAAATTCTCAGATTCAATGTTTATGTTATAACTACAAAGTAATTAGTCACTATCCAAATTTCTAAAAACAATCATTTAACTATCAACAGAGGATAAAATTTTAGATTTATTTGAAAAGAGAATGCTGATTATAGTATTTTTGTTATACATATTTAATTTTTTTAAGCTTGGTTAGGATGATGTTTTTGACAACTCAGTTAGAGTTAATTCATTATTAAAGTCTACAGAACATATATATTTAAAATCTTAAGATATTTAGTAAAGTCTAACTTCAATTTCAGCATATTTGTAATAAATTGAATCATTATCTTGTTTTTTATTTATATCCCAGATCTCTGCTATAGAAAACTCATCATAGCCATTATCCCTCTAACCTTCATACGTGGATAACGTAATGAATTTGTTATTATCAGATAAAAATTAAATCTTCTTAATGCTTTTTTTGATTATACAATTACAAGAGGGGCACCTACCAGGTATTATTGAAAAGTTCAATTTTTGTATTGCTTAATTAAGTGAAATACTCCATAATTCAACAATCTCTCCTTGTGATATAATGAGATGATCTTAATTATTAGAAATTGAAAAGGAATATATTGGATAATTAAAAAGCTTTGAAATTAATAGGGCTTTATGTTATATATCCCATAATTTAAGAGTTTAATCTAAGCCTCCAGAGTATAAAACTAGCCCATCTGGTGAAAACTCTATATTGCTAATTATATTCTCATGTCCATCCTAAGACAACCTGTTAAAGTCAACATTTAAATTCCATAATCTTATATATTTTTCTACACTAACAGACGCTAATGTTGAATTATCCTAAGAAATTTAAGCAGCATGTATTTATTCTGAATGGCCTAAGAATTTAGCCATCACTTTTCTAGCCTTAAAGTCCCAAAAATAAATTATTTTATTACTTCCACATCCTGCTAAGTATTTTGAATCTTAAGAAAATGAAAAATATAAGAATTTGATATCCTCTTCCAATTTATTAAATTCTTAGTGATTTTCCTTCTCATATAAATAGACTTGGTTCTTTGAAGAAAAGATTAAATTATTTCTATCTTTGGAAATAGCTATTTTATCACATGCAATAGTTTTACCAAGATTATATTCTATTGCATTTTCATTAATATCAAAGACGTTAAATTCTTCAAGCTATTAAAATGCCACTTTTGAATCATTTTAAAAAAGAACTAAATCTTCCACAACAATAATATTGGGAATATGTAAAGATCTAATAAATTTACTTTAAATCATTTCAATGATTTAAATTGAATCTTAATTAAACTATAAAGCAAGATAATTTGATGAAGTTTTTGGAGCAACTGAATTCATTGCTTCACATATTACTCCAATTAATTAAGGTTTATTAATTTTGGTCATATTGAAAAGATATACTTATCTAGAACTCATTACTAAAAGCTTTCCATAATTTGTAAATTCAAATGAAGTTGAATATTCACTGTAACCAAACTTCTCTGAACTAAGTTAAAAAATAACATTATTTGATATAATGTTGTAAATTGTGAAATTGTAATTATTAAAGAAGACTATATGATGATTATCTGGGCAAAACTCAAAATATCCTAAATCAATGAATTCTTTAATTATAAAATTTGATTCAAAATAAGATAATTTAGAAAGCTCTTAATTGCCATATAATAAATATTCTAAGTTATTTGATATTGCTATTTTGCTTAAATTTTTTGTAAAAATAAATCTTTGTTTACTTTTCATATCTACAGGATAAATGATGATTGGTATTTGATCCCAAATATAATAGGCACTTCTTAATTTTGCTAAATATTTTCCATCCTATGAAAAGACAATATCTTCAGTTATTTGTCTAAATAAATCACTTTCCATCAAACTATAATAGTCAATTAAAGTAAATTAATTATCTCTATTATTTTTCCAAATTTTTACAGATTATTTTTCTTTAGTATAAAGATATTCATCATTAAAATACATTTTCGCATATACGGCAGAATTGAGATTTGGAATTACTTCAACTAAATCGTTTGATTTGACATTCAAAATATATATTCCAGATAGAATTGTTACAACAAGTCTATTTTAATCTTAACAATATGTAACTGACTCAATTGTATTGGGTAATGATCTACTGAATTAAATTTCATAATTGTTATGTATATTCCAAATTATTACTTTTTCGTTTATTCCACCAACTAAAAATTGACTATCTGCTGAAAATTAACATTGAATTCTCACTTAATTCGAACTCTCTAATATTCCTAAATATTCAAAATCATCAAATAACATCACTCTACTATTTTATGAGCTAGAATACCAAATACCTTATGATTGACTTAAGCAACAGATTTTCAATATATCTTCATTATTATAAGAGTCTGATTCAGCAGATAATTTGATTTCTGGAAAATTTTATATATCCCATAGTTTAAATTTAATTCTTGCACTAATTAAATATTTTCCATCATATGTAAAACATAAGGAATTAGTTTATTCTCTTGTAGAAAATGAAAGCAACAATTATTTAGTTTCGAAATGCAAAAATTTAAAATTCAATTCCTCATCAGATGTAGCAAATAAATTTTATTTAGGAGAAGATGCAATAGTTCTTATTCTTGAATGATTATTATATGTAAAAATATCTGAATTTTAATCAGAAATAAATTTCCATATTGTTATTTCATTATTATTGTAAAATGCTACTTATTGACTATCATAAGAAAAACAGATTTCTGTCTACATTAAATAATTATACTCCTCCTCTGTTTCATTTATTGGTTCTTTTAATGAATATATTTGATTTTAACAAAAATCCCATATTTTTATTAATTTGTCTGTTTTAGATGTCAAAGCCAAATATTTATCATCAAAAGAAAATATCATAAAAGAAATTTTAGAATCACATTTATCTTCATGTTTTTGAATAAATCTCATGCCTTCTTAATTCCAAATCAGAATTTTAGAATTTTCACTATAACTAGCAAAGAGAGAGGATTTATGTGAAAACACACATTATTAAAAATTATTAGGGCTATTCTCAAATTCTATCTACTAATTATTTTGTAATCCAATAACTTACTGTGCATTCCTCTTTTGTACAACAATTAGTTATTCATTTTATAAAATAGAGATTCTTTTACAATCGCTACGATGATTGAATGATTTAGATTTGTGTTGACTTAAACTTATAATTGCTCTATGTTTTTCTATAGTTGAAATAACTATCTTATCAAAATCAGAAGATATGGTTATATTTTATTAGTAGAATTTTGAAAAGACTGCAATTAGTTAGCATTTCTCTATTGACCAAAGTTTTAAATCTTAGTGCTCATCTCCACTTAATAACTTTGTTCCATTACAAATGAATAAAAGCTCCTTTACTAATGAATGATTTTCAATGGTACCTATTTGAGATGATGTGAATATACTCCAAAGTGCTATTTATTCATTTTAACCAATAGCAACTAGATTTTCATCTGGTGAAAAATCTATGCATTGAGAGTAAGTTATTTCATAAAATTTCTCTTAATCATATACATTTTAAATTAATATTGCATCACCAAGATTACATACTGATTATTAATCATCTTTAGTCAATAGTATACTCTTAATTTGAAATTTAGAAGAATTACGAATCAAATAAGGTTATTTAAGGTTTTCTATTTTCCAAACATTAAAATTATCATATTCAGAAGGAACACAAACAAGATATTCAGATGTTTAATTGATAGCTAATTAATGAATTAAAAAATCTAATTTAATTACAGCTAATACTTTTTATTCTTTTACATTCCAAAGTGTAACTTCTCGGTCCCTATTTGCAGAGGCCAACATTTCACCATTCTTGAAAAATTAAATACACTTTATCTCACTCTCTGAATTTTTTAAAATAAATCCGTCTTTTACTTTAAAATTTTTTCTGATTAAGTTTACATCCCAAAATTGAATTAGACCATCACCACTGACAACTACTAATTCTTTTTAATTTTATGACAATTACATTAAAATTACTCTACTATATTTATTAATTTTATGGTTTGTTTTCTAGATATTTTTAAGATCATTAATCAACCAAGATTCTATTTTATTTCTATCCCCACTTACAAATAGCATTTAATCATCCGGAGTGAACACTAAAAATTTTGGTTTGACAGAAATATCTCTAATCTCTCCAATTTGCTAAAAAGTGTTACTATCCCAAAACTTTATAACCTTTTCCGACCCTCCACTAGCTATTATCTTACCATCATTTGAATATTAAATTATAAGAACACTATCTTCATGTCCTTCTAAATATGGTTTTTCAGAACATATTATATTATTCCATTTCGCGTTTTCCAAATTTGCTTCATCAAATAAGCAAGAATCTATAATTACTTCGTTGAAAATTGAATGTTATAATTTGCTTTTATAAAAAGATAATCCTTTAAGAGTCGTCTTTTCTAGATGAATTCCTTAAAATTCTTACTCTCCTAGATATACTTATAAATAACTTAATAAACAAAAACTATTTGAAGAAGCAACTTTAAATTCTTATTTTTTTGATTATTTAGCGATAGAAATTAATTTAAGGTTATTTTAATCCTTTAGTTTTAGTTTTTATTTCAATATGTTCAAAGATCCTAAGTAATTTTCTAATGAGATATTAAATTGCTTCTGATTAAAAACTGAATTTTCCAGTTAATTTTTACTATTATCAGTAATTTAATTGTCTATTAATTCAAATTTATCCATTAAGTTATTTATATGTTAAGCTACATAAAATTCCTATATTGATTTATGATTAAAAGAATAGCTTTTCCCTTTCAAATTAATTAATGCAGAACTTCTCACAAGCTTTTTATATTCATCTTCTAAATCATCAAAATATTTCATTTTCCAATTACCTTCATCATTTTGATCAAAATATTTATTATTTAGTTTTAACCTTCCTTTTTATTAATAATTCACTTATGTTGTTTAATTTATAGTCATTTCTAAAGCTAAAGATTCTGAAAATTATACTAAATCTATAATAAAACTATCCATGTTATCAATTTTCCCTAATTATCTAAGTTTCTAAATTTATTATTCATGATAAAATTCTATAAAATTTAAATAGAAATCATAAATTGTAAATTTCTACATTGTTAAAGCTGGAATTACAACTTTTAAATCATCGTCATTTATGTTTTTTAATTCATTTTTTACTGAAGATATATTAGTTATTGAAAAATTTTCAAAAAATCTTTTTCTTTCTAATCTATCAAGAATTTTATTTAGATCTTCTAAATCTTATTTATCTTGATATTTATCAATTTGTCTTTATTAATTATTGTTTACCTACTTAATTTTTTAATCTTGATATTGTTCTGAAAAATTGTATTATTGTATTAGCTATTTTGATAGATTTTATCTCTTTTTCAGTATTAGGAAATTATTTTGAAAGCTTTCCTTAAAATCATTAGATCCTTTATATTTTTTTGATAGACTTGGAAGAGTTTACACCACGATTTCAAGCATAAATGGAGTTGTTAAGATATCTTTTATACTAAGGTTTTCAATAGTCTTATTAAATAAACTTGCACTCCATAAATCTGCAAGTTCCTTTTATAAGATAATTAATTAACCTTCTAAAACATATTGAAATGCAGATTATATTTTTATTAGTTCCAAAATATATTAAATTTATTTATCATCAAGTAATCTAACAGAATCTTCTTAACTATCGTCTTAATTAATAACTTGATTTTCTATTTTATTCCAAATTTTTAAGAATTCCTGAATATCTATACGCTCTTATTTTATTTATTTTACAAAATCATATTATGATTTAATTCGTCTTTTAATACTCAATTTAACATAATGTTTGAGATAATTTTCACTTTGTTTTTCATCAAAATTCATTATTTCTACTTCCTTGAATGTCTCAAGACCATTTCCAAAAAACCATGTTTAATATCCTAAACTTATCAATATCTCTTTACGAGTTGTTATTATAAACTTTACGTTCTTTATTTATTTATTTTCTTAATTAAGATCTTAAATTAATCTATTTGTTAATATTAAATTGGATTGAATACAATCTTACTTCATTTCATCATAACTATCAAGAATCATAACCACTTGAATTTTATTGTTTTAAATTGCTTCTTTAAAATCTTTCAATTATAACTTATCAAACCCGTAATTTTCAGATTCTAGTGCTTGATCTAATAAATTAAACTTTGGATTTTTTAATTATGGCAATGATATGTAGATAGGAATCCAATCGTTTAGATCTTTATAATGACTCCATAGATACTTTTCAATCTTTTTTGCAGCTCTACTCTTTCCACAGCCTGCTTAACCTTTGATTAGCATAACATCTTTATTCGCCTCTTCATAAATAAATTAGTTGACTTCTCCTTCCCTTTCTGCTTATTTGTTTTCTTTTTAATCCTCAATAAGTAATTCAGAAGAATCTTTACCTGAAGAAGTCTTTTATATTTATCCTGTAAAAGGATTGATTTCCTATGTATTTAATGGAATATATATAGAATCAAGTTCTAGAAGATAGGCTTATGATTTTACTTTTTCTTTTCTAATTTCAAATAACTCTTCATATTTTTTACCTCTTAATTTTCTTACATCATTTCCAATCTCATTTATTGATTCCTATAGATAATTTATTTACTTTTTAATTTATTTCATATTTTTTTGTAGCTCCTTTAAAAATATCAAAGTAATATCCAATTGCTACTACATTTCAGAAATACTTTCTAGAAATTCCTCAAATTCTTCGTATTGATTAGTTAATTTTTTTGACAATTCATCTCGCTTTGATAGATTGCCTTCAAATCTAATTTCTGATTCAATTGCTTTCATTTCCTACATTCTTTAATTCATCTCTTGTTTAATGCTTGCAGAAAAAGTTTTAAGATCATGAGAGAACAGTTATTTTTACATTTCCACCATCTCTTTATTTTTTAGTAAAGCTCTAACTGATTTATCTTTTTCTTTCAGCCATATTTGTTAAATATATTCTTGACAAAATTATAATATTTTTTTTTCAGGGACTTAAGATTAAATTTTTATCATGTGAAAGAGGAAGCATTCACGAACAATGTAATCTTTGCTTAAATCATAGAATTTTCTTTCCACAATCACTTCTTGTTGTAAATTATCTAGTATATCTTAATAGTTTTTATCTATCTTAACTAAGATATCTGAAGATAAACTATTATAGCAAAACATAATGGCAAAATCTTTTAATGAAAAATTTATTTTATTTTAAATTTGATTTCTCTAAGATTACTTTTTCTCCTACACACCCTTTATAAATTCTTGTAATAAGTTAACTAATTCTAGTTTATTTATTTATACTTTAATAATATTTTTGATATTTAAGAATAAAGATTCTGGAAAATTGACTTCATTTAAATATATGATACTAGAACAATTTTAGTGAATATATTAAGATAATATTTCCATTTTATCAATTATATTGTGAATAACAATTATTTATTTATTCAATTCTGTTATTTTTTTAGAAAGAAGTTTTGATTGCTCATTTTATTCAATTTATACTTTCTAAATTTGTTTATGAGAATTCTCATTTTGATCATTATTTTATTACTCAATATTTTTATATTATTAGTATTTGTCCTATATCTCCTTCTTGAATTATTCGAAATCTTATTCAGAGGATAAATTGAAATTATAAACTGAATTAAAAAGTTCTGTTTACAGAATTAATGCTGAGCTAAATAATGTATTTTATTATTAGGCAAAATTATCTATTATTTTATCTCTTAACCTTAAAATGTATTAAAGTATTTTCGAAATATTACTTTAATCTTTAAGATCTTAAGAAATAAATAGTTCAATTTCTTTTTCTTGTAATTTTATCAATTCACTTATAGATTTATGTTCTTTAAAATTTTTAGTTCCTAAGACAGATTTGAGATTCAATTCCAATTTGGAAAAAATGTAAACTGTTTACATAATTTACCCTTTTAAAATTTTGCTCATTTTGATATAGTTTTTAAGATTAGAATCAAATTTATTTATATCTTCAAGCTTTTAAAAATTTTATTGAATGAGACTTTCCATAATTTTTTTATGGTATTCATCATCTATAAATAATAAATTATCCCTTTCAATAAAATCTAGGAAGAATTCATTCAGTTTTTGATCTAATTATTCTTCATCTATTATTTTTATTTGCTTATTGTTTAGCTCCAAAAAGTTTTATAACGATTATTACTATAAACTAAATTCTTATAAAAACCGTTTTATTGAAATTTAAATATCTCTAATAAATACACTTAAATCATTTTCTTGAATTTAAATTTATTATTCTTAGGATTACATTTTTTCAATTTTCGAAAACTTTAAGTGAAATCCTTTGTGTTTTGAGATGAGATTAAATATTTCATTATATTTTGTTGTCCAATCCTTATAAATAGTTTCAAGCTAATTTAATTATTTCTCCTCCTTTTCTTTATTATCTTTATTCTTTTTTTTATTATCTTTTTCATTTTAACTTTAATCCAATTTAGCTTATTCTAAACAGATTTCTATTCTCTTTTTCTCAATAATCATAGTGATATCTATTTCATAAAGTATATATGAAAGTTTGAAAAGACTTACATCTAATTATTAAATATCTCCTTATTAATCTTAAGCTAGATCCTATTAATTGTCCTAAGTTTTTGTTTCAACTTATTGAGAAGGGATTGAAGTTGAGTTTACTAAACATTTACTATATTGTTCGAAGATTCTTAAGATTTTTTCTAACATTTAATATAAATTTTAAAGTTTCATACTTTATTCATCAACACTTAATAATTCAAGTTGTTACTATATATTGCTTTATTCTTCTGGTTTTTTCAATTTTTTAAATGTAAAATCTAAATACAATTTAAAGAAATTTTATTTTTTTGCAAATTATTGATTTAAAATATCATTTTAAAATTGTTTCATCTTTTTATAACCTAATTTATCTAATGTTAACTCTTAATCGTAATTCATAGACTCATATGAAATATTATTATTCACTTACACAAGCAATTTATCATAAGATAATTCTTAAATAATATTTTAGTCAATGTATTCATTCCATAGCTATTTTTGTTTATTTTCATCTAAGGTTTTTAAGAATTCTGTTTTTGATATAATTTTTCTAGTTGAAATCAAATCTGAAATAGCATTTATCCAACAAAAGTGCACTATCCAATTTTCTGAATTCATAACATATTTTTCATATCCTTGCTAAAGATTTTTAATTAGATTACTTTCAACTTTATTTTCTTAGATATTTTTGATGATATTTGATTTTAATAAAAAGAAGAAGTAATATATTTGATATGTTTCAATAGGAAACTAAAATTAATAGTACTTGGCAGTAAGCAAATCTTTTGCACAATCAAATATAGCATTTAAAAATTATTCTTTTAATGAAAACTATAACAAGGAAGAAAATAGAGAGGATCCGATTTATTTCAATTTATCATATTTATTCTTTGATTTTGTCCTGCTATTTAGTAAAACTGTTTTTATTAGAGTAATCTAAAACTCTAGTCCATTTGTCCAATAGTAATTATGAACTTCAAGATTCATTTTGAAAATATCTATCATTGATAATAATTCACCATGTAAATCAGTGTAAAGAAAGCGTTTCTCATCTTTTAGCTAATAAGTATATATTATCATTAATAAATCATTACACACTTCCAATACATAATAGCAAAGACATCCTGATCCCCTTAAATAAATTGGTATAACTGAAATAAGCTGTTAAAATTAACTTAATGCTATATCATAAATCTTTAAAATTAGATTGTCATTTTTACAAATTTCACAAATCCAATATCTATTATCAAAAAACCATTATAATGATATCATTATTTCATTACGCGAAAAATTATCTTAAAGTTAATTACATTTATCAACAAGCAATTGAGAATTTGATTTCATATTCTAAATATAATTGGTAGGAATTGTAGTATGCATATCATTTTTAATTTTGGTTCCTCCACATCCTCCTCCTCTAAGGGATGACTTAGACTTAATGAAATATTCAACATTTTCTATTTTCAATTCAAGAATCCTTTTGTAAATTAAAAAAGAATTGTGTAGATACTATTAAAAAGAATTCCTTTCTAAAGTGATGGAAAGCTACCTTCTGATATGATTTAATACTGTGTCTACAATTAATTGCTCTGAAAGTAAACTAGTCATATTCATTTATTTAATATTAAATTGCTGATATCATTTTTTATTTCCCTTTAATTAAACATTTTATAACTCTCAGGAATTAATCAATAACAAATAAATTAATTAATAATATAAAACCATTATAAGATTAACAGAAATTTGATGCATTTATTATACAACATGTACTGTAGAGATGATTTTCTTAAAAATAATGATTAAAATCTTCATAAAACTTTTATTACAAAAAAAATTTACATATGATTATAATAAATTGATAATCTTAGAAAATTATTTAAACATAAAATCAAAGATTGTAAGACATTTGAAAACTTGGCAGGATGTATTTCCTAATAAATAATGAACTTTTGTAAAAATTTAATGACTTATTAAAACAAGAATAAAAGGAAGGAGTTTAGAACAAAGAAGTGAAGGATTGTTAGTTTAATGAATTGTTACTAATTTGAAAAATAACTCAATAAATTTTAAACTGAGTCATTCATTGCTTGAAAGTGAGCTAAAGCTGAATAGACTATTATATCATCCTTTGAAATAAATAACGAATTATAAAAGTGACACATTCAATAATTATAAGAAATATCAATATTTTAGAGATAATCAGAGATCAGGGACAAGAATTATATTTATAAAATATCATATATTTAATAATAGGAAAAATTTAATGATGATATATTTAATATTCATTCCTTTATTTTTTAAAATAATATAAATTATCATTTATTTGAGTTTTCAACTTCTGTTTACCTATTATATTTCAGAAATGTAAATAGGAAATTTTTATAATTAATTTCCATATAAAACATTTAACTATTCCTAATAGTATAGGTTTAATGTTATATTATTATTAATTATTAAAATAAATGTCAAATCTTTAACAAAAAAATCAATTTTTTAAGAAGAATAAGATTAAATACCTAAATTTATTGAAACCAGAGTAAAAATATTCTGAAAAGAGTAAAATATCTCTTCTATTAATCTCCCTTTTAATTTACTACAATCCTATAGTCTATNTATCATTATTTCATTACGCGAAAAATTATCTTAAAGTTAATTACATTTATCAACAAGCAATTGAGAATTTGATTTCATATTCTAAATATAATTGGTAGGAATTGTAGTATGCATATCATTTTTAATTTTGGTTCCTCCACATCCTCCTCCTCTAAGGGATGACTTAGACTTAATGAAATATTCAACATTTTCTATTTTCAATTCAAGAATCCTTTTGTAAATTAAAAAAGAATTGTGTAGATACTATTAAAAAGAATTCCTTTCTAAAGTGATGGAAAGCTACCTTCTGATATGATTTAATACTGTGTCTACAATTAATTGCTCTGAAAGTAAACTAGTCATATTCATTTATTTAATATTAAATTGCTGATATCATTTTTTATTTCCCTTTAATTAAACATTTTATAACTCTCAGGAATTAATCAATAACAAATAAATTAATTAATAATATAAAACCATTATAAGATTAACAGAAATTTGATGCATTTATTATACAACATGTACTGTAGAGATGATTTTCTTAAAAATAATGATTAAAATCTTCATAAAACTTTTATTACAAAAAAAATTTACATATGATTATAATAAATTGATAATCTTAGAAAATTATTTAAACATAAAATCAAAGATTGTAAGACATTTGAAAACTTGGCAGGATGTATTTCCTAATAAATAATGAACTTTTGTAAAAATTTAATGACTTATTAAAACAAGAATAAAAGGAAGGAGTTTAGAACAAAGAAGTGAAGGATTGTTAGTTTAATGAATTGTTACTAATTTGAAAAATAACTCAATAAATTTTAAACTGAGTCATTCATTGCTTGAAAGTGAGCTAAAGCTGAATAGACTATTATATCATCCTTTGAAATAAATAACGAATTATAAAAGTGACACATTCAATAATTATAAGAAATATCAATATTTTAGAGATAATCAGAGATCAGGGACAAGAATTATATTTATAAAATATCATATATTTAATAATAGGAAAAATTTAATGATGATATATTTAATATTCATTCCTTTATTTTTTAAAATAATATAAATTATCATTTATTTGAGTTTTCAACTTCTGTTTACCTATTATATTTCAGAAATGTAAATAGGAAATTTTTATAATTAATTTCCATATAAAACATTTAACTATTCCTAATAGTATAGGTTTAATGTTATATTATTATTAATTATTAAAATAAATGTCAAATCTTTAACAAAAAAATCAATTTTTTAAGAAGAATAAGATTAAATACCTAAATTTATTGAAACCAGAGTAAAAATATTCTGAAAAGAGTAAAATATCTCTTCTATTAATCTCCCTTTTAATTTACTACAATCCTATAGTCTATAGAACAGGATCCAATAAAAAATAGGCATTTACTACCACTCCTTAAGAGATTGGATGTTTTATGGTAATGAATAGATGCAGAATAGATACCTAACGATAATAATTAAAAATTAAGATTAAATAAAATAAAATAATTCCAATCAAAATAAAGAGTATAAAGATTATCATCTAAATTAAGTAAGATTGCCATTCAGTTGACAACATATATTAGAAAATTCTCTGTTTGATTAATGTATGAGCATCTGGTAGTCATGATTACTCTATCAGCCTATGGGATGCAAAAACAGGAAAATAACAAGCCAAATGAGATGGTCATAGTGGTTTTGTTCGATCAACCTGTTTCCTTTCTGACTGAGATATATTAGTATTAGATAGTCATGATAAGACTACCTGTTTATCTGATGTTATACAAAAAAAAAAATTAAACCCATAGATATATGTTACAAAGATATTTTAGCCTAATCAACACTACTCCTATTTGCAATAACTCTTCATAATTAAATAGTATTAATTTTTCATTCATTTTATCTTACCCAGTTGTTATAACACTTCTTCAAAGCAAATACTTACATTTCGAACCAGTCGTAATCTTTAAAGGAGAATTCATAAATCATTAGGTCAAAGATTAAATTTATTAATTAAAGAATAGGAGTTTTTTTTTTAAACAGTAACTATATATTGTGTAAAATACAATTATTATCGATAATTATCAAGAACATTATAAATTAAATTATCGTATTAATACACTTTTTATAAGTTATTATAATAAATTTGTTTTTTTGAATATTTTATGATGACTTTAACAAATAATCTAAGATTACTAATTTTAAGCATTTTGTTTTCTCTAAATTAAATTTTGAAGTGTGGGAAATAATTTTGGAGAAGTATACATAAATGATACTGTCTTAAATTAAATACTCTATAAATTTTTGGATTGAGCAGCACAGCGAATAGGCCAACAGAAGATGTAAAGTAATTTTTTAATAATTCCAACAGAAAAGTAAAAAAAATGAAATTCTTCTTAAAAATCTAAATTTAACAAATTTTGTTTCTGAGTTATTTAATAGTAGGTAACAATTACTAAGTATTTTATTTAATAACAATAACATTAGAAACGGATCTGGAGAGGGATTATCCTAGATTAAAATACATTTTTCGGACAATAAAAAGCTATAACAATTAGATTTAATAATCAGTATATGTCCTTTATTCAAGCTAATATTTCGATAATAGTTTATTATTGATTAATAGATATAAAGTATTTTAGAATATTAAATATTGTAAAGTCATACTAATCATCATTAGTTATTATATCATAATTTGAATTATTTATTTGGAGAAATAATTATATCTCACCTAGATTAAAATTAAAAGAAAAAAATGTAATTATCTTAATTACTAATTGGGCTTTTGCCATTTATAAATCACTGGCTTAATGTACACAGCATTTTATAAAATCAGAATTATATAATCACATTAACTACAAAAAGATGATCACAAAAAAAACTTAATAATAGTTGTTATGTATATAAACTTTCATATATATAATAATAGAAATTATTGGTTTCCTGCTTTATATTCAGTTAGTTCTATAAATTCTTATCCAATTAATCAAATATCGAATATGATTAATTCTCATAACAATATCAATTATGGATATTTATAACAATACCAATCATTGATTTCTTTTTTCTTCTTCTTCAATTTGCTCAAAAGATTTGCTTTAAATTAATGTAAACAATTTTGAGTAAGTTTAGATTTTTTTGGATGAGTTAATCAAAGAATAAAGTTTTTAAAAGAAGTATTTTGGTCTTGAATATAAATTATTATTTCAAAAAGTTAATAATTGGTTTACAGATCCTTTATTAAAAGAAATGCAATTTTAAAACATGATTTAGTGTTTTAGAAGATTAAAGGTATTTTAATATTTTAGAAATTTTATGTTTTTTGATTAAAAATTATTATTATCAATAAAAAACTTTATTATTTGAGTAACTTTATTTTAGGGTTTTTTTTGGGTCTTATAAAGTCATTTATATTTTCAATAAGTATGAAAGTAAAATCAATCTGCCATGCTCTTGATTCTCTGATTTTTCTGCTCTTGATAATTATTGAATTAGTATTTATACCTGAAATTATTATTATCTACTTTCAGAAACTGAATTATGTATTTTATTTCAAAAATAATCATCTTTTATTTTACTATTTACAATTCTAATGAAATTAATTTAAATGATATATTTATGTACTTATTGGAAGAAATGTTATTAGTGAAGTCTAGTTTTAATTACTCTTCATAATTAATTTCAATTCTTTCCATAAACAATCCTAAAATTTAATTCAATCAAATAACAAAAATACAATACACAAAAGTCAATTTTGAGATATAATTTTCAATGTGTTGAAGGTATGAAAATGCAAATATTATTTATTCTCACTCTATTCTTTCTTCACTATCATCTTATTTTTATTTTAAAATATTTTTTCCATTAATTTGCCAAAATAAATTATACAAAATAAGAAAAATTAAGAATTTATTAATCATGACTAATTATTTTCTATTTTTACATAAAACCTTTTAATATTCTTTTTATTAATTAATCAAAGAGAGATGAATAAATTTCTTACAGTTCAAGGATAAAATTTTTTTTTTATTCCTTTTAACTACTTTTGTTTTAAAATTCTTATTTAACAGAATAATCAAATGAGATTTATCAACTTTAATGTTATTACTGCTCTTTTTTTTTGGATTAAAATTGATGTTTATAATTATCATTAATATAATAATTCATATGATTGATAAGATTTACTTTAAACATCCCATACAACAAGATATTAACCATCCTCTGTAATTGAGAAATAATTATGTTCGGTCTTGCAATTCAGTTGATCTTCAATACTAAAATTTCCTTCTTTCTCTTTAATAACATAAATATAATTCTTGCATTTAACAATAAGCATATTTTTCCCCTAATTATAAATTATTTATCCCAGTCCTTAACATTCAACCGTATTAGACTTTTCTAATTTTATTCTTTTTTCAATAGTTTCATAAAAAATACCATTTTTCCTTTAATAAACACATATACAATCTTGTTCACCCTATGGTAACTATATCAATCGATCATCATCCAAAAGTTTTATTTGAGAACCATCGGTTTCTAAAATCTATTTAACAGCATGCTTAAATTTGAATTTGTCTTCATTTGCTTTTTCCCAAATCAATATCTATTTATTTTATCCACTTGAAATCAAAATATTTTCCTATTCATTCAAACAAATTGCATAAATATTGTAGGGATTAAAACTGAAAATTGATAGATATGTTAAAGTATTTTTTTCAAAATTAATTTTCCAAATTCGTATTGTCCCGTTAGTTCCAGCAGTAAACAGTTGGGTTTCATTTTTATTCATTATCATACAGAATACTTAATCATTATTCAATTAATAAGAACTTGAGGATTCCCATTCATTTTATACTAATGATTTCCAACTTCTTATAGTTTTATCACAAGATGCTGAAATGAAAAATTTTTACTTTTTACTGAATAATAGATTATTTACGATATCATTATGTCCTTTCAAATTTTATTCGAATTTTAATATTCCATTTTTTAAATTCCATACTTTAATAGATTACAAACAACTTGATACCATAATTTAACTATTTACATCAAATGCCATAGCATAACATGTATCAGATTATACCTTTTAATCTATCAACTACAATTTTAATTTTTTATCTAGGTTCTAAATACTTTTCATTCTCCTACTATTTCTCAAATCTGTGGATATTGAATTATAGTCATAAAAAATTACATCATCTTAATTATCTACCTTTTAATTAATAAGATCATCTAAAATTGCTTAACATTTCTTCTTCTCCTCAAATTGACTAAATTTGTCTAATTTTCTATTAATTTTTACACTCCATTAATTATTGATTTCATGAATTGCTTTTTCTATCGATTCCTAATTTACAAGGCTATCTTTTCCATACTTGAGTATTTTATCTAATTCTTCCAAAAAGTTTGATGGAGCTAACTTTATTTTATTCAAATCTTCTATCCAAAATTTTGTAATGTTTATAAATGAGTCTAATTCTTTATTAATTGATGTTTGCAACTCTCTTAAAATTAGTTGAAAAGAATTCAATAGATTAGAGTTCTTAGTGATTAAATTTTCCCTTAATTCTTTTTTTTGCTTATCAATTTCTTCAACCAATTACATTGCTGCTCTTAATCCCATCGTCCTAGCTTCTAAAGAGTAGGATTCAACACATTGAGCACACAAAAGTCTTTCATTTTATCTGAGAGTCTAATCTAAAACTATACTAACGATAGGCTGATTATGCCGAAAAGCACACTAAAATTATTAAATCATTAATTATTTGAAAAATTTTCAATGAAATTTGAAATTTAAATAGTCTATTTCATTCTTAATGTTCATTATAAGGAAGGCAGGAACTTTGAATCAATTATTTATCAAAATTGATTGTTTTAACAAATGTAGAATAACTAAAACCTTTATTATTAATCAGATTTTGTATAAGAATTAATATAAAGGTACTGTTTATCAAAAGAGCAACAAAACAATTTTTTTAAGTTTTAAACAATCACTTTAGAATTCTTTTTGAATTTCAACAAATAGTCTAATAAAAGTTATCTATCTTAATATCAAAAAAATAGAAGTTTACTTTCTAATTTTCTATTATCTTATGATCTATAGTTTATTATTAGTTGAAAGTAAGAATCTACTAATAGAATCAATACACTATGAAAAAAAAAGTAGTAGAATTTATTTTTTCATTATAATAATTAACTTCAATTATTTTATAAAATAAATACTTAAAAGAATAAAAAACGATGTAAAATAAGACTTGTTTATGAATATAGTTATTTGAACTAAAAATATATATTTTAGTTTGCAATATATTTAATAATATGAAGTTGATTTCCAAACATATTAATTAGAAAATACAGAGAATTTTTTACTTTAATTTTCATTTTATTTAAATTGAATTATTTGAATCAATATAGATTTTAATTATAAAGAAATGCAAATTATTTAAGCTTCTTTTCCATCATATGTCACACAACTAATGAACTATTGACACCAGATAAAATATACAATTTTTATATTGTCAAATATAGAATATTCAATATTTAATAACAATTGATCATAATTATTGAATTAGTGCTATAAGCCATCAATAGAAGAAGGTGATAGATCATTTGTTATAATTAATTATTCTTAAGATAAACTTTTTTTTTTGCATTATCAATTATTGTTGTATTTTATTAATGATTCCTAACAATTTCTCTTTTTATAATTGTATCAATAGATTATTATTTTAACTTAATTACATACGTTCAGGATGACATCGATTAAAAAAATTTATTCAATACAAATTTTGAAAAAGAATGTCATCTATTTTTTTTCTTAATTCTCTCAAATAAAAATAAAAAGAGTGATTCTAAAGAAACTCATAAATTTTAGTATTAATAGACTGCATATTCAATTTTTCAATATACATAAATATAATAATATTAATATTATTTTTGTGAATTAATAAAAAATTAATTTGTTCTTAGAATTCCTAATTTAACACAATTTAATTCATGTAAATAAAGTTATCAAATACATTATTAATATAATATGAAAATCAAATTTCAAGAATACTTATTCTTCTTTATACTTAAGGAAGTATAAAATTGTAGAAGAAATAATAATAATCCTTAATATATTTTCAACACTAATTTAAAAACTCATTTGTAATTTATAAAATAAAATATGAAAGAAAGTATTATAATCTTTAATTAAAAAATCGATTTCCAATTCATTAATATGATGGATGATTTAAAAAATTCATCTTTTTTTATTGTTTGATATTATTTTTTATTTCAATTATTGTAGTTCAATATACTATATAAAAATAAATGCTCAATTTTTTAATAAGTTGATTGTCTTGTGACTTTCTTTTGGAGTTAATCTCAAAATATCAGGTGAACCTTGAATCTATGATGTGATAAAAAACAAGGAGTGTTTTTAATCGTCTAATTAGTCTAGTAAATCAGATTATTAATTTTGAGTATTTTTCACTGGACTCAGTAAAGAAAATTGGTTTTAGATATGAGAAGTGTGAAGCATATTTCGAATTGGAGAATCAAATATATTGGTTCTAATATAAATAAATATAAGTTAAAATACTTTCTACATTGAATAATTAGTCGAGCCTAAGGAATTAAATAATTTTTAATTTTTGCAAATCTTTATTTGATTCTGGCTTTTTATTCTGTTTTCTGTTTAAAAAAACTGTAATTAAAAAATTTTTTCTTAATCAAATTTGGAAAGTATTTTTATATAAGTTCTCTAAACTTGTCAATTTTATCATTAAATTAATTTAAATAAACAAATAATATTTCCAAAACAACTTTAATGATAAATAAACCATTAATAATCCCAATAATGAAATAACAGGACCAAATTATTTCAATTATATTTGATTATTGAGCTACATATATTTAACTGGCTAAAATAATAGAGACAGCACATATAATAAATGACTGTTTATCCAATTAATTCATTTTTCCTGTTTAATAGGGTTAAAGCGAATTCGTAAACAATATATAGGCGAATAAAGTTAAAAATACAAACGATGCTTTAATAGGTATATGATCCTCATAATATGCTAATACTACAATAATTAATTCTTTTTAAAGAATTTTAACAATCTCCCAAAAGTACGCTTTTTATTTGTATTCATTATAAAGATAACCCCAAATTGATCTAATTGAAGGTTTGTTTAAGCAATCTTTATTAAAATTAAGTCTGTAAAAAAAATAAGCTGGTATAAGTATGCTAAAGAGTAGTATCAAAGGCAAACAAAATGAAAGAATCCATATAAGATGATTTTTTGTATCATATCTATAAGCAACATTTCCTTAGATCCAAAATTCATTTGAAATTATTCTATATGAGAATAAAGAAATCAAACCTCCAACTAAATTTGGCTGCATGTATAAGAAAATGTATAATAGAGTGGTTGGAATAAATGAAGATCTATATCTTACAAGTTTAGTTAATATAGCTAAGCTTCCAAAAATAAAAAAGACTGCTACAAATGAGGCAGCATTAACTATACTCCAAATAATTCTAAAATATATTATTAATATATCTGTTAAATTAATTAGAAAGCAATCAAATGAATAAGCCATAGAATCAACTGGATTTCCAACACTATTAATTACTGATGTCAGTCCAGTAGGAATTTAAAGTTAAAATGTTGCAATAGAAGATATTATTTAAAAATAATTAGTAAAGAGTTTGATTAAGATTGCTGATGTTACTTATGTGTTTTAAGAATTAATCTTGAAAGATTTTAGTCGAATCCCTAAAATTACTTCTTCAATGCTTCTAATATTACCCAATACCGACAATAAAGTAGAGATAAGGGTCCAGATACTAATTAAAGTAATTGTTAATGCATTATCAGCAATTTAATTACAATTTCCGCATCTGTAAGGAGAGCTAACTGAATAAGGTCCATCACCTCTTATGTTGTATAAATCACATTATTCACATAATGCACCAATGTGACCTTCAGAACAAGATTAATCTCCAGGTTACCACCCTCCCTTACAATTATTTACATTATGATAGCAATGTTCAATTTTATCACTATAATAATATGCTCTCCAATATTCTTATTTTAGTTCAATCATAGAGCTTTTAATAGATTTCATCTTTAAATCATCTTTATATTTGCAATTTTAAGCATTAATTTATACAGAATATTATTAAAGTAATGGATCACAATATATACAACTACCAGAGGTTGAATTTAAATATTCTCCTATTTAGCATTTAAATGTTTTTATGTCAACAATTAAGTCATAATCAGTTATAAAACTAGTAATTTAATATGGTGGTTAGGTATCAAATTAGGGAATTTTAATAATATTGCAATTTATTTTAAGTCTTAAAACAACATTTTCATCAATTAAAGGATGAAAATTGATAATTAAATTATCTAAATTAAAATCTTAAGTGTCTTAATTAAATTGTACTCTAGTTTAAGATAATGTACCTGGAAATTATGTTAAAATAGTATTATTAGCCTAATTTATGACATAATGAGAAATCATACAAAAGGAATCTGTTAATTTCTTCATTTGTTGATTAAATTTATTCAAAGGAATAATCCGAAATGTTAAATTATAAGGAATCAATTTAGAATTTTCTAAATCAAAGTATTAATAGGAGGAAATAGAAATTCCTGATGGAAATGTTAGAAAATTTACTTTTTGAGACTATCCTAAAATTTTATATGGATTTATTTCAATTTATTCTATGACTTTAGTTGAATTTTTTAATATTTCTTTCTTTTTCAAGAGAGTCTTACCAGCATCAATCGAAATAGTTAATGAACGAGGACTTTCAAAAATATCTTAAGAAAATTTAGTAGATGTATTATTTAATACAATTACATCCAATTAAATTGTTTATTGAATAGATTATTAATTAAGAAATAGTCCTCCAGCCACTTGAGCAATATTTTCGATGATAAAACTATCAAATATAAATAAATTTGCACTATTAGAATAATAGTATATAGCACCTCCGACAATAGCAGAATTATGTTAAAATCTAGAATTTTAAATCACAACATATGCTTCAACAATGAACAGAGATCCACCATAGATTGCACTATTGTTTATAAATAAACTATCAATTATCTTAACTTGATGATTTAATTATAATGCTAATTTGGTATAATCATGCTATTGTAATTACCTTTCATTTGGATTAGTAAAAATCATTTCAGGCTTCAAAATATTTTCATTCCATTAACTTATTATTGATAAACAGCCTGTGTATCCACAAACACTATTGAAAATATTTATACTTTAAAAAAGAATATTTTCTTATTTAATCTAATTAATATTTAGAATACTAATCAGTCCATGTAAACATTTAGTACAATTAATAGAATCTAAGTTAAAAGATTAACCTATTATTTTATGATTCTCATTTATTCCTTCAATTTCAATTAAGCTAAAATTATAATTTTTTTTTTCATAAATCTTCTTTAAATTACATTCATGTTATAATTGTTGCCAAGAAGTATCAAGTTCAATTAAATTCAATTTAACAATAGGAGTTGTATTAAGCTTGCATTGTAATTGTTAAGGAAGTTCCTAATCTTTTAAAAAGCAAGATTTCTCAGAATAATTATGATAGCTCTAGAATTCTGTTATATTTGATAAGGTTAAATTCCGAAGTTATATTTCTCCACTTAGAGCTAGATATTATTAATTTAAAATTACAATTTTTAAGGGTAATTTTTATCAAAGATGCATCTTAAAAATACGAATTTATTATGCAAATATTCTCTAAAAAAACATTGCTGGCTTATTCTATTTTAATTAGACTCTATATGTGTATTGAATAGAAATTACAATTCACAATCTTAATGTTGCCATATTTTACCATCATAATGGGATTATTACTTCGAATTGCATCAATCTCTTATATTGTTGGTAATTCTAATAACGTTAAGTATTCATCGAAACCTTTTTCAGTTGAAGTAAAGTCTATTTAATTTAAAGTTATATCAAATTTAACTTGCTCCAAATTTAAATATGAAAAAGAAAAGAATGTATTTTATATAGAATAACAATTGGAAACCTTTAAATTCCTCATTAAAATTTCATTATGCAAAGAAGATGGAATTATATAAAGCCCTCCTCCTTCTTTTCTACTGAAACATTTATCAAATATAGTATTTGTTATAATTAATTTTAATGTTGCTAATTATGCATCAATATACATACAACCTCCTACAGAATATGAAGAAATTTATAAGGATGTTTAAGAATAGGAAAATTATGAATCTTCTATATTTATAATGCTTGTACCCTAAGTAATTAAAGTAAATCCTCCACCTTAATTAGCATAAGACTTTAAAATCATTACTTTATTCAAAATAATCTTGGATCCAACTAAAATTCCATTCCCACTTTTTGAATTAATAGGAAATGTAGTTTTTAAGTCTTATTCATTAACTTAATTGAAAATTAACAGATTTTTACTAATTTTATGATAAGAAATGATATTATTATTATAAAAAGATGTATTGGTAATCTCAATAGAAGCTGCTGCAATATAAATAATAGAATCAGTAGAATTAGTAACAATATTTTAATTAAAATTTGAATTCACTATTGTTATATATCCTTATTATAAAGAAACAAATATTGTAGATGCTGAATCTTTAGTTGTATCTTAGAAATAAGAATTTAAATGATTATTTTAAAAGGTAACATTTTAAAATAGTAAAGTAAAAATTTATTCAGATTAAATATGTATAAGTGATATTGCTATACTTGGTTTTGTGATTATTAACATATTAGAATCAAAAATAGAATCTTTAAAAACTATATTTAAATTTTATGCTTTATCCATTAAATCAAATCCTCTAAAAATAATAAAAGGATAATCATAAGTTATGCTATTATTTAAGTGTAAATTGCTTATTGTTATGTTTTCAAAAAAACCAAAATATAAATAATAAGACATTAAATATTAACCATATTTATTAACACAATCTAATTAAGAATGTAATGTCTTAAAATAATACTCATCCATTTAAATTAATTAGAAGGTATTAATTTATAAATTTCTTGAATTTAAAACTGAAATTTCTGGCAATCCATATCCTCTTATAATAGAAAATTCATTAAATATGCACTAATAACATTCTATATAAATATTTGATTGATTATCAGATAAATAATTCAATATATTTTTAATTGTATATGTGCAATTTCTTAAATAAAAGTACTCAAATTTGACATTTAATAGATAGATATCTTTTAATTAAATAATTTAAAATAAAGATTATGCTCTATTATATTATACATTTTCAATTTTACATTAAATAACAAATACATTCTATTATTCAGATATGGAGATATCAGAAATTTTATTATGAATGTTATTGCTAAATAAAGTACTATCAATTAATTGAAGGCCATTTATTGTAATATTTTAAATCTAAATAATAATCGACTAATAGAAGTAAGATTATTATACAAACTTACTATTAATAATAATAATATTCTAGGCTTAAAATAGTGTAACTCCAATAATTTAGAAAATAGATGATTCATTAGCTACTGTAACATGGTTAAGTTAAATATAATCTAAAAAAATACTTCCATAATCTTCATTTTATTCCAATTTTGTTTTAAATAAAAAAGAATTGTAAAATTGAGATTAGTAAACTAAAATTTCATTTATTCTTAAGTTACTTTTGACATTATTAATTTTTGGATATAAATTAAATAAGCTGGAATTCTAAAAATTAGAAAATGTTATTAAAATTTTATTTAAGTAGATTTAAGTACTTTTTGTAACTAAATCAAAAATTGTAGAATTAATTATATTTAAATTCCGAATTTCTAAATTAAATAAATTAAGATTTATAATTTTTGGATTAATTGCAAATTATTTGATTGAAAATATTTGACAATCTCTCAATTCAAATTAATTTGCAATAATTTTATCAAAAGGAATAATAGTATCAAATTGAATCATCTCAAAAATAATTGAAGAAAATCCAATAATGCTTAGTTAATTTGTATCTAGAATAGTTGAATTAGTGCTTCCAATAAATTTTAGATTAAGTGTACCAATTTAATAGAAACTATTACGTATGTTCGTTTCCAATTTTTTTTTTTATTAAATTACGCATTTTGATTCACTACCTTAAATCAAATTAAATTCGAAATCAACTTCTCTTACTTAACTATCATCTAAGTATTCTATGATATTCAATTAAAATAAGGGCAAATATTAGAAATATTCTTTGAAAAATAAATCTTCAATGTAAATATTACTTTTCTTAAATTCTATTTCTTCTTTTTCATTACTTAATTTATTTTCATAATCCTATTTTGAACAATAGATATTAATTGCAAATGTTGCTTAGAAATAACAATTTTAATATTCATTACACTTTTAAACATATTTACTCTTTTTAATTTCTTTTCTATTCTCTCTACATGATAAACAAGTAGCAATACCATCTATAATTTAGCAATTTGCGCAATCATAATCACAATCTTAAATACATTTTTGTTCATACAATATATAACCATAATAACAAGATGTGCAAATTAATTCAAATTCATATTCAGATTATAATGTTGCATATTCCTCAAAAGGATGTGAATTATCAGAATTTAATACATATTTATAATAAGCTTTGATATCCCATTTCCAATAATCTTTAAACATTTAGACTTGTTCAATACAAGTTTTGCAATCATAATCGCACATTTCACATTCACCTGTTAAAATTGATGAATAGTAACCATTCCTACAGACTATACAAAATGAATTTTCTTATGAATAATTTTATATGCATTCAATACAACCATATATATTTTAGCAATCTGTATTTTAAGTAGATGAATAACTCTTTTAACTTATCAAACAATGCTTAGATCCTTGATTATCATTGATTAAACCAAAAATACATTCTTCATTTTCATTTTATTCTTGATTAGTAATTGCTATAAATTCACATTATTTTGTAATTTAATTAAAATAATAGTAGCTTTTACAACGTGCACAACCTACTTATAATGTAGAATAATAATTCTAATCAAATTCAAAGTTAATATCTAAAGTAGAATAAATTAGATCATTTTTAACATAATAATGATAACAATAAATGCAATTTGCAATTTAGCAACTTTAGCAATTTTTTCCATCAATTGTTAAAAAATATAATTCTGGATTATCACAATAATAACATTTTTGATTATTATCACAATTAGCACAATTTTGTCCACATAATGTACAGGTACCATTTTAATTTAAAAATGCTCCACTATGACATGAAATACAAATTACAGAATTTTATTCTTATTTGCATTCTTTACATCCTTAACATTACTAGCATCGAAATTCTTAATTCAAAAAATAGCCAATTTTACATTCAATACAATAATCTGAATTTTTGCAATATTAACAACCTTCTAAACAAGGAATACATTAATTTTCTATATTCTTAAAATAACCATATATACAATCCTAATAATTACTATTCAAATGCAATTCCAATTTATTTTCACTATTTTTAATAACTACATATCTTTCTATTTAATAAAAAGATCTTTATGTTGTTTAACATGCATAATCTTGCTAAATAGTATCTTCACTACATTCTAGAGAAAATGAAAATTCGATGGGATTGTAAATACAATTTGAACAAGGAATATAATTTCTTGAATTAAGTACGAAGTTACCAGGACTATTATAATTTATATTAATACCATTCTAGGCAAGTTGAATTATATAAAAAATATCCTTATTGACATACTGAAGAATTAAAATCACAAAATAGATATCCATTTTTATGGCAATATTTTTATTTTTCTAGAAGTTTTAAATTTGGATATATGGTTTTTAATTTTTTACAAGTAGGTTAATCATAATAATCGACATAGTAAATGTTGCATGGACAAGTATTTTTTTTAGATATTAATATGCGATTGCTATTGAGTGGACATGTTAAACAATTATCCATTTTAGGACCATAACAAGTTAAACAAGAATAATGACAATTTGGAGTCAAATTAATAAGTGGAGGAGTACAATATATATTTAGTATAAGATCACTAAGATAACCATTCATATAATTTTTAGAGTATTTATCACCTCCAACATTACCAAATAAAATTATTCCACTAAAATGACGTATTGGATGTTCCCATTTAAATTTTTAAATGTTTTATAAAGAAGGGAAGTATATTTAAAATTAAGCTGAATTTTCATAATTAAAAGTTCCAATTTCATATAATATATAATGCCAATTTACTAATAATTATTGATATTCTTCTCCAAAAACTTTAATTATATCTTTATCTTAGCTTTAATAAACTGTTTTGGTTGGAAAAGCATAAGAGTACGTAGTAATTTCAAATCCATTAAAATTAGGATTTTAGTCTTAATAATATTTTAAATATAATTCTTTATCTCCAATTCTAAAATCATCATTATAATTTCCATTAATAGTAATCCTAAATATTATCATTTCACGATGTTTCTATTTTAATTATTTTATTCTAACCCAACCTTGGATAGTATAAATTGGAAATTCTAAAATAGTTGTCATATCATTTATAAAACGAAATCCACTGTATTCTTCATCAAAATATGCTAACATATATGATTTTTATATGCATTCAGTTTCCATTTTGCATAATTATATTATTTCATTTTAACTATTACTATCTTATAACACATTAGAGTCGCCTTAACTAAATAATTGAGAAAGTCTTCCTTAAAACTATAAAAATTCCAAATTTCCTTAATCTTAATCAATTTTTAAACTTCCTCCTACAATATGCCTTATAATTTCAGGCATAATGGGGATATCTTCAACAATTAATACTTTTGGATCAAATTTCTATTCTAAAAAGAGAAAAGCAAATGTTGTTTATTTTGACTAAAAATTAAAATAAAAGTAATATAATATCCATTTTCCTTCGTAATTTAAAAAATCAAAATTGACAGAAATTTTAGATTTTTATTTTTAGAAAGAATAGTCTATATGATGCTTTATTACTGAAGCATAAGTAGATATTTCAATATAAAAGGTTAAGATTGAACTTTATGATTATGAATCTTAAAGCGAATAAACAAAAAAATTTTTTGATTTATCATATGTTTATGATGAAATGTCTATTTTTTAAATAAAAAATACCGATATTAAATCTAGACTCAAAAGGTAGATACTTGATCCACATTCCATACCCAAGATTTTAATTTCCCTATACTATTTGCTCATCTAACTCAATTTCAATGTCTTATTAGGGTTCATTCTGACTATTTGTGTTTTATGACTATATCAGATAGTTGCATTCAGAATAGGTAAACCTAAGATAAAATTATATGTACTGAGGTAGAGTCATCCAAAATAAAATAACAATGATGTCACTTATCATATATTAAATGTTATGAATTTGAATATTTAATTAATACATTTTAAATACAATCTATTTAATAAATCATTGGATATAATACAAAAATTCATCTTTGAGATATTATTCGCAAATTTATTTAATATTATATCATTTTATTATACATTGTTATAATTTCTTAATCAATTCATCTCCTTTGGCAAAATAAAGAGTCAAATTTCATTTCATTAGATCATTTTATACATTCCTTAATTAAATTAATATAAATTAAAATAGTTTGTGAAATAGAAGTTACTTTTTTTAATTGATTATGAACATATATCCTTATTGATAGACTATTAGAAATTTTATATTAAGTTAATCGATAATATTAATTTTTTACGTATTGAATTTGACTCCCCAATTCATTAAAAAAATTTTGAAGAATTCTCTACAAAATCTTTTAGAGTAACAAAAATATTTATTTATTTGTTATTCTAAAAAGGATTCTAAAATTTGTAAGAAAAAATGATGATTATTTATTTAAAAGCTAGTAAATAATCGTATATTTTGGTCAGTAATTAACAATTTATTTATTCATATTCTAAAGTGTTTGATTTATATATAAATCAATGAATAATTGTTCTTTTAAATATGTAAATAATATTATTATAATTAAAATATGTATAAATATACATAAAATTGTATTATCATTTATGGATATTAGTAATTTTTAATATTTTCCTCTAAAAGTTATTTTGATTTAAATAAATATTTTTATCTTAAATAAGTATTTTGTTATTTATGGTATATAATCATAATATTTACTTTATAAATATCTATTTATTAAATAGCACATCAAATTTTATTTGCTAATTTATTTGATTCTGTTTAATATAGTTATTCATTAATGATAATACAAAATACTTTACAATTAAAAAATATGCTGATTTACCATCTATTATAATGAATTTGATATCTCTCTTTTATTTAGAAATTTTAGATGATAATAATTTTTTGAATTAAAATTAGATGTTTGAGAATTGGCACTTATGTTTAATTTTAATTCATTTTATTAACAATGTAAAATTAAACTATGCCTCATTTATTTTGAAACTTATATCCTATTCGACTAAATTTTTTCTTAAGATGATTTGATTCATTTTATTTATTATTTTATTAATGGGTTCTTGCTGCTCATCAAATAAAGTTATAAAAGAAACTTATGATTATTCTGATGGTGGAGTGTATTCTGGAGATTTAATGAATGGATTGCCAGTATTTATAAATTTTAACTTATCTTAGCAAGGAAAAGGTTAAATTCGTTGGGAAAATGGATGTTTTTTTGAAGGACTTTTATAGGAAGGCAGAAAAAATGGAAGAGGATTGTTTAGATGGGCTGACGGTTCTTATTATGATGGAGACTTTACAGATGAGAAGTTTAATGGTTATGGAGAGTATTATTGGGCAGACGGCAAAGTCTACAAGGGTAATTGGGTTGATGGAGATCTAAATGGTGAAGGGATATTACATTATAAAGATGGAAGAATCTATAAAGGTACATTATTATTATAGTTTGTAAGGCAATTTCACAAATGATAAAAGGGATGGATAAGGTGAAATGATTTGGCCCAGTGGTAGTAAATATATAGGAGGATGGAAAAAGGGAAGATAACATGGTAAAGGAGAGTTGATTGATACTAATGGCAAGAAAACTGAAGGTATTTGGAATAAAGGTAAAAAATAGTGATCATCATTATCAGAATTTATTTGTCATAAATTTAACTTTCTATTTAATCTTAAATTATTGTAATATTATACTTCATATTTATACAATAATTAATTTATTAAGAAAGTGAGAGTCTCATTTCAAAATAGTATTTCCATACTTATCATTCTTATTTATATATATATATTAGTCTAATATTGATTATGATTCATTATTAAAAAAATATATTTAGCGCTAATTTATTATAAAATTAATTATGTTTCAATAGGAAGATGTATATGATTATATTAATTTAGAATCGTGTGAAGGCTAAAAGAGAAAATTATGCTGTCGAAATCAGAAATTAAAGCAGATTAGCAATATTTAATTAGAAAAGAAATTAATTTGCATCATAAGCAACTTTATATAAGTATGTACCTGAAAATTTCTTGGAATCAATTCCAGAAGCTGAGATTCAAGTTTTTATAACAGAAAAGTTATTGAATCCAAATAATCAATTACCATATGTTTTAGAAGGTTTAAAAATCTTAAATGAGAAAAGAAAATAATTAAAAATTTACAAATTGCTCTAACCAAAATTATTAGAATTGATAACTCCATTTGTAGGAGTTTTATCATCTAAAGAAGAGTATTTATCATATCTAGTATTTTATCATTTGTTGAATATCATTTATTATTTAGATCAATCATAATTACTACTATTTTATAATATGTCAGGTTTTAAGGAATTGTATATTTATATAAAAGATTCAACATTTGATTTTATTAGATAAGAAAAATTAGAAGTTGCTGCTTTTGGATTATTTACTATTGCTAATATTTTAAGTGAAAAAGCTTTAGTTCTCAAACATCCATTTATATTATAATCATATCAATAATTTTTAATTGATCTTGCAATTCTTTAATAGAATATTTAGACAAATCCAACAGTAAATTTTATTCATGGTTTAATGTGGGTATTAAGAAATTTAAGTTAATTATCAAATAATATTTATTGTTAATTCTTTGATATTTTATAAATGAACATAAACTTCATTGAAAAGTTTCAAATTAATAATAATGATATTTCATTCTAAATATGCCAAGACTTTTTATAAGGATTATCAACTATAACAAGACATATGACAGAAGATGAAATAAGTGAATTATTTGCTACTCATGTTTAATTACTTATATTTTTGATTTCAAATCCTTGGGATCCAAAAGTACATTTGGAATAAGCTGAAGTTCTTCGCAATCTTTTATATGGTTAAGATGATGTAATTGAACAATTACTTTCACTTGGTTTAAGTGAAGTGATCATTAAATTAATGTCAAGCACTAATTAAGAAGTTATTGAAGAGACTATTGGTTGTATTAGAAATATTTTTGGTGCAGAAGATGAAGAATTAATAACATAATTTTTAAATTAGCAATAATTACCAATTATTAAAGATTTATTATATCGATGTACAGGAGCTAATAAATTAGAAGTAAGAAATGAAGCATTTGGTGCCATTTAAGTATTGCTAACAAATTATTAAGAATCAGCTGAAATTGTAATTAAATTTGGAGGAATAGAAATATTGATTAATTCATTAAATGATACTATTGGTCAAACAGAAATAGTCAATAATATATTAAGTTCTTTATATCAATTACTTTCATTTGACTCATCAATTAATTTAGATTAAGTTAAGTAATTGATCTAAAGTTGTTCAGGAGAACAGATAATAAGTCAATTTCTTGATAGTAATGATGAATTAACAAGAACTTTAGCTTTCAAATTAATAGGATTTATCAATTTAGAGTGATGTTTACATTTCATTTTATAAGAAAATTTTAAATAAATAATTATTCAACATTCTATATCAATAAAAGATGAAAATAAAAATTTCTCATTTTTGAAAGAGTAGAATTTCAATTTCAGATTCTTATATTTCTTAGTTAAGAATTATAAGAATCTAATAATTTTATTTCATTCAATATGAATTATTTAATGATAACAATCATATATTATAATATATATATATAAAATTACAATATTATGAATATAAGAAGAACATTATTATATAAATCATTTTTTTTTCATTAATAAAACTGCTTTGTTAGGTGATTTTTATAATTATTATCCTTTTGAATTTAAATTATCAGAAAAAAGTCTATTTATTGCATAACTTGTATTATTTTATTATTATTTGATATTCTTTTTTTAGACATTTATCTACTACATTGAATTTGAATTATGTGCATTTGAGTTTTCATTAATTTTTGATTATAATTAAAGAGATTATCCAAATGAAGGTGGTTTTTATGTCATTTTTTTTTATATAGTTTCTTATTATTTTTTTTTAGCTTTTTCTACAACTTTCAAAAGATCTGGTTAAAATAATTATTATTCTTGCAATCTATTTTTTTTAGTTTATAAATTCATTTCTTTTTAAGCTTATAAAATCTTTTACAATTTTTTTTCTTTTAAAAATTCTTTTTTTTAATTTTTACTCATTTTTAAATAATTTTCAAAATCAGAATCATAATTTTCTTCTTCACTTTCTTCAAATTTATGCATTAATCTAGCTTATTTTTCTTCTTCAGTCTATTCCATATTTATTAAATCTATATTAGATACTTTTCCATTTCTTCTTTTAAATTCTCCTTTTAATATCTTTTTAATATCTTCTTTTTCTTATGCATGTATTCTATCCATAAATATTTAAAATGCTCTAATTTCATTTCCTTCATCTAAATCTTCTATCTTATCATCAATCATTTCCAATAATTCTTTTTCTATTACTTCATTATCTTCCTCTTCATCATCATCTTTAATCTCTTTAACAACATCATCATGAGATTCATTATCAGATCCTTATTCTGCTTAATCCTCTACTAAATTTGATTCAATATATTTCTTCATTTTTTCTCTTTCTTTCTATCTCTCTAATTTTAATTTCTTTTTCTCCTCTAATTCCTTTTCTTTTCTCTTTCTTTCCTTAAACATAGTAGAAACCTTTTTTAAACGTCTAAACATATTTAAATCATCTTCATTTATCTCATCTGCTTATTAATCATCATCATCACTAATATCAATTTAAGCAAGTTTATTGAATTTTTTGTTTTCTTATACTTTATGATCTTCTTTATTATTATCATCATCTTTTTTATTTTCTTCCTCTTCATCTTCTTCATCTTCATCTTCATTTTCATTCTAATTCTCATTTTCTTCATCAGCATCTGATTAATGTTAATCATTATTTTAATTTAATTTTCTATTTTTTATTTATTAAAGTTATTAAAATTCTTCATCATCTATTTTACTCATTACATCTGATTTTTCCTCTATTATAATACCATATTCTTTTTCTTTTTTAACTTCATTATTTTCTTATTCTTCTATTTCTTTTTCTGTTTATTTAGATTCTTTAACTTTATCATCTATTATTTTATTATCTTAACTACTTTAACTACTTCCATCATCAATATCTTCACTTTCTTAATTTAATTCATTTTATTTAGGTACAAAATCTTCATCAGGTGATGAATCATCATCATCATCCTAACCATTATTATTTACTTATTAATTTTATTATCTTCTTTATTCAATTTATTCAAAAGTAGTACTTTAAAATCTATTCATTAATTCATTTAATGATAAATTAATTTTATTAGCTTTATGTTCAACTTATTTTTATTATAATATTTATTAAAATTCACTTCTTGAATAAGCTTTATTACTATTATTTAAACTTGTAGATGTTTATACAACCCTATCAAATCCTTTCTATTTAATTTTATTTAAAAATAATGTATGTTCAAAAATTTTATCTTTAGCCCCATTAATTTTAGGTATAAATAATTATAATTCTGGATCTTCATTATCTTCTTATGATAATCCTTTTTTCAATCCCATTGAATAGGTTTTTCTTAATAATGAATTTCTAGATTCTCCATCTAATCTCTAATTTTGTTCTTCTTATATAAATGATGCTGTTTTTATTATTTAAGGAATTTTAGGTATATTATTTCCATTTTATTCTTAATCTTATGAAGGTAAGAAAGTACTAGATAATAATGATTTTTATGATTTTTATTAATCTCCAAAAACAAGTACATTTTATTTATATTATTAAACTTTATTTAACATATCTCGTTTTGCTTTTTATTTAATTGCACTTTCTTCTACTTATTATTTTTCAAATTTTAATTCAAATTAATCAGTATCTATTTCTTAATAATTTTAGTTTTCATTTTAAAATTCAAATGGTGTATCCTCAAATTCTGTAAAAAATTTATGTCTATTTTTAATAAGTTAATTGATATTTTTAGCATTTTAAGCTTTTCTTTTATTTTATTTATTATCAATACCAAAAGTATCTCTATCATTTCTATTACTTTCATATTCTATTTCCATTTCTCTTCTTGGAGGCTCATCTTCCTCTTCTGCTTATATAAACTTTTTATTTAGTAAATTTTCAATAGTCTTCTCATTAGTTTCTACTGTTTTCTTTTTTGTCTTTACTTATTTTGTTGGTTTTTCCTTATTTTATTTTTCTTAATTTTCCTCATTTTAATTGGCGGCATTTTCATTCTATTTTTTTTATCTAGGTTTGCGAGGTTTCTATGAATTTTAATTTTATTTTTTCTATCTCTTTTTATTTTCTACCTCTTATATATCACTTTGATCACTAATTTCAATAGAATCAGGTTATTCTGCCTTAAATACATCCTTTTATTATTCATCTTTTTCTTCATCTGTACTTTTTGCCCTTTATAGTCTACCTTTAATTGGAGCAGATACTTCAAGAACTGAATTTGAATCATCCTCTGACATTAATGGAAATATCTTTATTTAATTATTGCTCTAAATTGTATTATAAATAGTCATTTTTTATAGTGCAAACTAGTTAATTTTCTTATTGACTAATATGGATCCTCTACTTATTTTGAATAATATAGTCTTTTTGTAATTGATTATGTTCTTGAAAATGATTATAACATAGGAGAACTATCACGTGTATTACATCTAACTTTATTATCATAACCCCTTAAATTTGATATAAAATTCTTTTTCCTTCCTATTGAAACTGAAAACCCACCCTCATCATAGCTTCAAATAGTTAATCTCATACCTAATATATCCATCTCTTCCACTTCCATCATTTCTATATCTGTTTATTTTTGAATCAATGCAAGGAGCAGGTGATGCTTAATATCTACGATTAGGGTATGAACCACTTTCAGGACGAACAGCTTAAACTTAATTTTATTTCCAAAATCCACCATTGAAATTGCTTACATAAGTGTCCCTACCTGTCCCATCTACTAAATAATTGCTTAACTTTGTATTGTTCATAACAGTTTTTAAATACATAAATATTTAACACTAGATGTTTTAAAATTTTTTAGCAATTAGCATAAAACTATCACTCCAAATGTATCAAACAAGACAAATTAAATAAATATATATTAATTTATTTACTAATGGATCTTGATTTTAGTGATCTCTGTTCTAGAAAGAGTGAGACAAGAAATCAAAAATTCAAGGAGATTTACTATTTATCAACATTAAACTCAAAGCTAAGGCTCTTATAATAGAAGAGCTTGTATGATAGTATACTTAAATTTAGTATTTCTATAAATAAGTTTATCAAAATGTTAAACAACTTTAATAGCCTATATCAGAGTTTTGAGGATTTATAAATAAAGTATCAAATTAATGGATAAATAAATAATAATTTTAAGTTTGTGGAAACAATTGACCTTTGTTTACTTAAAATTTATAAAATCGAAATCTATTATTAAAATGATAATTCTGTTTTTACATATTAAGAGAAATAATGTACTATCAGAATTCAAAGGTAGTGGAGGAAGTAATAAGAAAATTCTAAGAAAATTAAAAAATATATAAAATCTTATATTAATCTTTTTTAATCGTTGAGTATTTCTTAAAATTCACTTCTCTAAGCTCTAATTCATTGAATATTAAAAAATATTGATCCTTTTCTTTTTAATATTAACCTATTATAATAATTAATAATAGGTAAATTTAATTAATAATTCTTTAATTAATGATAAAAACTAACTGCTAAACTCAACTTTTATAATATCCGAAAGAAGAAGAGTTATGATTTATAAAATTGTTTACTCTTCTACTCCCTTAAAGGATATATCAATAATCTTTTGTATAATTATTATTAAATTTAAATCACAAATAATTATCTTTCTTTAAATCCCTACAATATTAATCGTATCTGATATACTGAAATACTATGATCCTTATAATAATATTTCTGTATATAACTTAAAAATTTTTTAATTTAATATTAAAAAAGAATTCTACATTAAATTATTTTGATCCATAATCAGGGACAACTATTGACAGTGATTTAAAAGTAAAAGCATTTTATTTTTATTATATAAATTCATATTATATTTCTTTTCACTTAAAGGACATTGTCATTTAAGTTTATTAAATATTGTTTATTCACATATAGACTTGAATTCATTTTTGTCATAAACAAATAATTCTACTTATTAGAATTAAATTTATTCTATAATTAGTAGATGTACTAAGTCTACATTTAAAGAGGGATAATTTGTTTTAGGGATTTATTAATTTCTTTAACTATTTTTTTTTTAAAAGATTTTTAGACATGATTTTTACTCTGTTAACTACCCTTGTATTTTATGCTTTAGGTGCTGAAAAAAGTGAAATAAAACTGTTTTAAATATAAATTGAAGATGTTTCACTTGATTGGAGCGCTAAGGCAATTTCTTTAGACGAAAAGACATTAATATTTACTAAACATTTTAGAAGCTATGAGTCTAAATATTAGATTGAATTAAGTCTCCTAGACATTTATAAAAATGAATTAATCAAAAGAGTTATAGTTGGAGACTAGAATAGATAAAATTATCATCCTTAAATAATTTTTATGAATAACTTCATTTATTTAGTTTATGTTAAACAAGATTTAAGTATTGTATAATTAGGATTGAAGAAATACGACTCTAACTTAATCGAACAATAGGTTGATTACACATTGGGAGATTCTTTGGAAAATGCTAAATTTGATAAAACTATGAAATTTATTGAGCTCAGACAATTAAACAATACAGCTTTCTCTATAATTTGGAAATCTAGAGGTCAATCTGTGAATCAATTATAATGGAATTACATTTAATATGATACTACATCAGATAAAACAACTTAAATACTAACACTATAAGATAGCAATGATATCTCTATTGCACAAAATCAATTAGGAATTACTGGTATAGTCCAACTATATTAATAAACTCTTAGTATAACTAAAATTGAAAATTAAAAGATTACTGATGTAATTTTATCATCAAATAATAATGTTTTTGATGAAAATTTGAATGCTCTAAATATGATCTCATTACCTAATGGATAATTTATCATTTTTTAAAACAGATGGGAGTTTATTGTTGCTAGATTTGATCAATATTTAAATTAGATAAAGACTAATTTTATGCGTTTATCAGGACCAGAATTTTGTCTTGAATTTCAGCAAAAACCCACTTTTTATTAATATCAATATACTTTATTTATTATGTATTAAGGAAATGATGGTGTATGTTATTCTTAGCTTGATTTTTCAAACCAAAGTTAAAATTTGATATAATAAAGGAAAATTTAAAAACCAATTTTTTGGGCTGAAACATGGTATCAAAGAGTTGATGAATTAGGATTTAATAGATTTTCATTAAAATGGTTGAGTTATAATTAGTTTTAATATGAATTGTATACTATTAATTTAGATATGAATATAAAACTAAATGAATGTAGATAAAATTGTAAATTATGTGATCCACAATTTAAATGTCTATAATGTTAGGATGGATTTTCATTTATAACTGTAAAAAATGAATGTGTACCAAAATGTCCTGATAATTGTGATTACTGCATCGATCCTTCATTTTGTATAAAATGTAAATAGGGATTTTAGTACACATCTGAAAATTTATGTATAACTCCTTAAAATAATTTCAATGAATTAAAAATAAGTGATGAATAAGAACAAAAAGGATTAACTAGAGTCTCAATAAAGGATAATGAAATTCTAATTTTATATAGTTTAGATGAATTGTAAAAAGAGACATAACTAGTGTTAAATAAAATTAATAGCAAAGGAGTCTTAATTAAAAAAATTGTAATCAATTAATAACCAAATAAAATACTTGATTTTGATATATCATCTTTAGATGGTGTTTAATAATTCCATATTATAATCAAAAGATTGACAGTGGATTCTGTCCTACAACTTATTGATTATGAATATGATTTTGAAACAATGGAAATTCTTAATGAAAGAATTCTTGATGTATAATATTCAATGTTGAAAGGAAAAAACTAAATAAGAATCATTCAACTTAAGAATTAAGAATTTTGCTATTTTTATTAAACTTTTGTTGAATAGAATTATTGGTATCAATATTATTATGTAAGAATCGATGAAAATGGAAATTATTAAAATTCAGTCTTTAACTTCAATCATTAGTAATTCAATTAAATTGATATTTCAGTAAGTCAAAATATTATATATGTCAACCTAACAAACAAAGATTATTTATATCAATATAAAATAGAACAATATCAAATATTTTATTTAAATGAATAGTATATTTAAATTGACTATAAATATTAGAAGATATATGGTTCAGCATCTATTTATATTGATTATGATGAATATTTCAATAAACAAATATTCATGAATTTTACTTCAATGAATCCATCTAAGATATTGCAAGTAACTTAATAAACTAGAAATATCAAAACGTTTTCATCTTCAAATTTAGGATAATCACATGTTATTCTTACTTGGATTGGTTGTTCTAATGTAGAACTTGAAAACCCTATAAGTCAAGTTTATATCTAAATTGTTAATTTACAGACATAAGAGTTGACTAATTTAAAGGAATAAATATGTAGTAGTGGTTGTAATACTTGCACAGATTAAGGTTTATGTTTAGAATGCAAAAATACTAAATATTAATTGTAAGATGGTAAGTGTGTATTAACTTGTGAAAGTAATTGTGAACTGTGTGAAGTTGAAAATTAATGTTTATAATGTGCTAGTGGATTCTATTTAAATGAAAATTTATTATGTGATTAAACATAATAATAAGATATATATTAATAAGATAATCTAATTTTATCATATATTACTTCATATGATGACTCAATCTTATAAGTGTCATTAAAGAAAAATAATATAAGAAATGATGTCATTTTTGAAGAATTCAATAGATAAGGATAATCAATATCTGGGGAAATTAAAGTATCACAGGATACAGAGATGGTCTTATTTATTCGCCCTAAAGTTCTTAAAGTTAACAATTAGATTGTAATTTAATATATTAGAAAGAATGAATATTTGGAAAATCTTGGATAATTTGTTATCTTAAGTGATTAGTATATATTGATAAATAGTTTTATCACATAAGGAATATTATATGGTAATGAAGATGTGATAGATTTCATTGCTTCTGATGATCTCAGAATCCATATTTTCTTTATACAATATACAAATTATTATTGGGAAGGTTTAAATATATATTTAGCATATGAAAAATATTATATGAATAAAATAGGAAATCCATAACGTTTATCATAAAATAGCCGTTGGTTAGCTAAAATTGATAAGTAATAAAATGTTAAGGATGTTTAAATTATGAAAACCATATCATTGTAAAAACTAACTGTTACATATACTTTCATAGAAGATAACAATGAATCAATCAAAGTCGTGTATTTAACTGAATAATTCGATTTTATTTGGATGGATTTATAAGTGAAATTTGAATATTACTTTAATAATAATAAATTATGGGCTGTATCTTATGAAAAATTGAATGCAAATTTAATCAAAGTTAAATTTAATAATGAAAATTAAGAAATGTAATAAGAACATACTATTGAATCATCATATTAATTAAATTCATTTTAAATACTATTATAACCTAAGTTTGTATATTTCATTTATACAGAATAATCAACTACAAATGATAATATGAATATATAAATTATAAAATATTCATTGAATGGAGATAAATTAAATTAAAGATAAATATATCATAATGAATTATACATTTAAGAATTATCAAGTTCATCCTCAGATGATATGATTTATTTAACATGGTCATCCTTCAAGAATAATAGAATATTTAAAGTGAGATTAAACTCTGAATTAAATACCATACCTTTTGTTGAATAAATATGCAATATGAATTGTGAAATTTGTGATAGTAATTTAATTTGTAAATAATGTTAATTGGATTATTAATATAATGAAATTAATAATAAATGTGAACCAATATGTGCTGAAA